CCCTAATACCGAGCCGCAACTGCTCGAATACCTCTCGACATTATTAGGAGACAAACAGTACTTCGTAACTGGCGCAGCAGTCTCATCTTTCCTGGAACTGTGTCCAGACCGTCTGGACCTCATACACCCGCACTATCGCTCCTTGGTACGAAAGCTAGTTGATATGGACGAGTGGGGGCAGTTGGCTACATTGCGACTCATGATGATATATGCAAGAAGATGCTTTCCGCGCCGGACGAGAAAAGTCAAGAAAGCAGCCAGTGCCAGCATGAATAGTAAGACGAAACAATCGACAAAAGGCTTCTACGACTCAGAAAGCGAGTCCGATGAGGAGGAACAGGAACAGGACATGGAAGAGGTCGCGGTGCTTGATCCGGACCTTGAACTGCTACTGAAGGGCTGCCAATCGCTCCTGCAATCCCGAAATGCGGCTGTGGTGATAGCGGTAGCAAGGACATACCTATATCTTGGTACTCCGGAGTACCTGACGCAGGCCATCGGACCGTTAGTATCCCTCTTGAGATCTGCGGGTGACATCCAGCACATAGCACTGTACAACATCGTACAGGTCTGTCTGACACATCCGGAGCCATTCGTCAAGTACTACACCCACTTCCTGGTGCGATCGACAGACGCGCCACACATCTGGCAGCTCAAGCTAGAGCTGCTTACTCTGATATTCCCTCACGCACAGTTGAGGCTGCAGAGTCTAATCCTGGCCGAACTGAGCCATTTCTCGCATTCTGGCAGTCTGGATCCCGCGCTGGTCAAGGAGTCGGTGCGTGCAATTGGGCGATGTTCACAAAGCCCCGCGACAAGCCCACAGACCTCGGCAAGATGTCTGAAGTTGCTGTTGAAGCACATTGGGTCCGCTGATACTCACCTGGTTGCTGAGTCACTGGAGGTTATCCGACATCTGATTCAACGGGACCCCAACGCTCACCGGACGACTGTAGTCCGGTTAGCAAAACACTTGGATGCAGCGACCAGCCCCCAGGCACGAGCGAGCATCATATGGCTGGTTGGAGAGTTTGCGGGCATCGACCCTGAGAACAACATCGCGGCAGACGTCTTGCGCATTCTTGTCAAAGGCTTTGCGGATGAAGCTGAGCCGGCAAAACTTCAAATCGTGCTACTGGCAGCAAAGGTCTATGTACATCACTTGGCCGCAAACCCGCCTCCAGAGCCAAAAGAAGAAGAGCCTAAACCGAGTCCGTCGCTGATGGATGACTTCCAGGAAGACCAGGGCGGCTTTAGGGACGAACATCTTGAGTCGGCTCCACAAAACGAGGAACCTCAAGAGGAGAAGCCACACATTATCGAGGCACTATACAACTATGTACTCCTACTCGTGAGATACGACACCTCGTACGATCTCCGCGACCGCGCCCGCGTGTACAAGGCGCTTTTGGCGACACCAACATCGACACAACTCGCGTCGCTCTTACTTCTCGCACCGAAACCAGTACCACACATTCCGAGTCCAAGTGAAACAAGGAAAGGTTACGTGCTCGGCAGTGCCAGTCTTGTTATAGGCGACGAAGGCGGCGTCGGTGGTCTGCGAGGCTATGAAGATCTGCCTCGCTGGGTCAAAGAGGGGAACGAACCAGATCCGGCTCTGCGCGATGAGGCCATCTCAAACTCTTCTTCAACATACGTTTCCGCCTATGAGACTGCGAAGAACATGTCTGCAGCAGAAAGGCTAGACGCTGCAGCCGGTGGTAGTAGCAGGATGACACCTGACAGCATGTTGAGTCCGCGAAGTCTGAATGGCATGGGTGGAGATTCTAGTCTTGGCGGGGCGAGTAAGGCGCCGCAAAAAGAGAAGACGCTCGACGACTGGCTTGCGGAAGAAGAGGAGGAGAGCGGCAGCGAAGAGGAAACCGATGAGGAAGAAGAGACAGAGGAGGAGAGCGAGTACGAAACAGACAGTGAAGAGGAGACTGATGATGACGACGACGAAAGAGGTAATCTCATCAAGTAGTCATGAGCATGTAGATGGTATATCATACAACAAGCAGACTATAGTCGCGCCATATTCCCTCTCTTTCGCATGCTCTTCGCCTTTCCTTCTACAACCCCTACCTCCTCACCATCTAGTTCTCCTTCATCAAATACGGCTTCATCCCAAAGTTTCTCGCCGACCAAATCCGCCAACGCCAAAACCCTCGTTTGCACTGTCGCTCCATCGCGCCTGTTCTTGCCCTCCCTTCTGGAAGCACTGATCCGCTCAGCAAAGCGCCACAACGGACCGTCCGCAATGATACCGCCATCAGATCCTCTTTGCGGAGTCCACTCCTCCGCCAATTTGATAGTAGCTGGAGTCTTGCCTTTGGGTTTGGTAACAAGAATCATGCCTTCTTCTTGGAATCGTGCGTAAGCATTCTTGAGCGTTTCTTTGTTTACGGCTTCGAAGTAGGAGAGGTCACCCTGATGGTAAAGAGTCTTTCCGAGGACTTGTGCGCGGTCTTGGACTTTCTTGAGGTCCAACCAGGAGGATTTGGGTGTAGGAGTATGAAGGGGTGAGACGGGCGGTGCCAACATCATCAGGCTGATAGCACCGAGCCACGCAGCTTCAATAAATGGCCAGATGAGGAAACAATAAAAGTCGTAGTTTTCGCGTCCTTGGGTCCGTTCGGCTGGTGAGAGTTCAATAAAATCAACAGTCTCTTCCCCGAGCTCGGTTTTCGACCGTGACATAGTAATCACATCATCCTTCTCCAGTCCGTCGAGGGTTTTCGCCAAGTTGATATCCAGACCTTCGGTGGGAAAGATGAACTCTCCACGGAAGAGTTGTGATAGGAAGTGTACCTGCGCGCGCAAATCACCATAGGACATGCGTTGGTACTCCGGACCGCCACCCTGCTTGACGTGTGTGTACAGCGCTGCGCTAACCAGACTTTGCAAGATGAAGAGGTGGATGGTCATGTTTCTGTAGAAGGAGAGTTGGAACCTATCGACGGCGTAGAATGTATCTTCTGGTAAGCCAGGGACAAGGCCAACCAAGCCAGGTCCCAAGACTTCTAAAGCGCGGTCAACGACAACGCTAGTGGGGAGATTGCCAAAGTGTGCTACACGACCACCTTGAGCGCGAACCCGGTCGCTGAGCCATTCGACACGGCGTATTAGTTCTGATTTTCCTACGCCACGTCCTCTCAACGTCAGTAGCACAGTACCCACGAGGGCGGTCGGCATCACAACTGAGACGTCGTTGATCTCCGATAAAACTTTGTAGCCTAGTGTGCGGAGGAGACGGAGACGATCTTCCTTAGTATCTAGTTGTTGGGGTAGTTTTGAGAAACGATCGCGTTGCTGGTTGATGAAGGATTTGAGCGACCATGGCTCATGGAAGCGAACGTCTACGCGGCCGAGTTTGAGTGAGAGGACGGAGGAAGCGGAGAGAAAGTCCATTAGATTTTCTTTGGGCTTGGGTTGACCGAGAAGTTCGCTGATATATGAGCTGTGGCATGTCAGTATTCGAGGTAACGTAAAGGTTACCTAGAGAACTTACTCGACCTCGATGACCTTGTCGTACTGGGTCGAAACCGGACAGATGATGGCATCTTCTACCCTGCCACTCGCGACACTATCTAGCATGTAGCTGAGTATGCCAAACTTGGGCGGCAAAAGCTTGCCTGTACGACTCCTCCCACCTTCGACGAAACACTCCAAGTTGTATCCGCATTGCAGCAGGGTATCAATGTACGATTGGACCAACGTGATATACAGCTGATCGTCTCCGAAGCTTCTTCGTATCCACATTGCGCCCGCATGTTGTAGGAAGGACCCGAGGACGGGGATGTTCAGGTTATCTCCAGCAACTACAGTTGGCAAAGCAAGCCCAAGCCGATAGCAGATGATCTGCAAGGAGACGTAGTCGACGTGAGAGCGGTGGCAAGGGAGGAAGATGATGGAGTGTTTATCTTTTGCAGCCTTTTCTGCAACCGCACGTAAGCGTAGCACTTCCTCGCTCGAGACGTGCACGCCCTGGTGGTATGCTCTTGTCAGGAGTTGTGTCGCAAAATAATATGCGCCTCTTATAAAGCCCTTGCTTTCCATCTTGCAGATCATGGAATCCGTCCAGCCCTCGCTGACCTGCATAAGCGATTCCTCAATCTGCATCCTCATCTTGGCCTTTGTATCCTTCTCGCCGACGCTACCCCCGTTTTGCGCCTGTTCACCCAGCAATCCTTCTTTCGCTTCCACGTCAACGCGCTTGTCTGCCAGTTCGCGAACCTTGGCTACAAGCATCGGGTTGCTCAACACCCTCGCCTTCATGTCCTCGCTGAAGCCCGAGTAGAACTCTGGCTGCCCAATGTGATCGTCGAAGGACCGCCATCCTGTGCCTGAAAAGTGCAGCGATACCTCACGGATGAAGTCGAGCGGCGAGGAGCGGAAGCGCGCGAAGCTGTGTATAAGGCCCCGGTCGGGCGACTCGTTGTAGCCGGCTGCGTGCAGGTAGACATTGTCGTCAGCGGTTATGCTGAGATCGGGAGCTTGTTCGGGACTAGAGGAACGGGCGGTGGAGGGTTTGTCATCTTCATCGGAAGACGCCATGGTGCCTGGAATGGGATAATATTCAGCCGACAGCAAGGAGCGTCTCCTTAGGGAAGGTATGCGGCGAAGAGCGCGGGTGGCATGAGTGGGACGCGCTCACGGGATAATGGGGCGGTGCAGGGCGCGTCCGGTGTTTGTTCTTCGTTGTTGCTGGTAACTTTTACAAGAGTTGATGCTATGACATCGCGAGGGAAGCCATTAGGAGATGCGACCATGGACGGCGCGAAACGTCAAGCTTGAGGTGAGACCCACTTCCCCGGTCGCTATGCCTCGGCTTCCCCACAGGATGCCACGCCGGCGTCCATCACCTCTGATTCGCTCTCCATCAGGACCACTAACTTCAGCCATTGTATGGTAGACTAATGTATAGCTTTATGCTATGGTACGTCTTGTATATATACATTCATCTTCGTCGAGTTGCCGCATACCAGAAAAATACCATATCAGAATATTTCCCACAAACTGACTTTCCCGTCTTTGGCTCCAGCCGCAACCCAGTGTTTGAGCCTCGTCTGCTCGTCGCGCTCCATCTGCCGCTTGTTGACAGCCTTGCTGCTATGGCCTGCTTCTTCTGGTGTAAGAATCTCTGCGAAAGCAGTTGAGTAGACTCCTTCCTTGTGCCACTTGAGCACTGCCACTTCCTTGAGTGTTTTGGTGCTATATATACGAATCCGGGAGTCCCAGCCGCCAGTCACGAAGAGCCTGCCGTCAGAGCGGATACGAAGAGATTGCTGACCTGCATGTTTGGTGTCCACTGTTCTGCACGGCGGTTGTGGAGTGACCAGTGGTTGAACTGGCGGAGCTGGTCTAAACTTCGGTAGTGGTGCTGAGGACGCAAGCAGTGAAGATAGACCACTGGGTGCCGAGGTTCCAGGCTTGTCCTGATTCATGTTTTTCTTCGCGAACAAACTTGGTGTAGATTTGGAAGTGGACACATCCGAGCTGTTGTCTACACCAGCAGGATTGTGTGGCAACTCTGGTATGCGATGCTTGGCTATTACAGCATCTGCTGAGGATGTGTAGTAAAGGTCGCCGTCTGGTGAAGCGTCCAATGACAAAATGGGCTGGGAATGGGGCTGGCTAAGGTATACGAGCTGCGCAGTTTCTATGCCTGTATTGGAATGTTCTTCTGCCAGCATGAAAGCTGCCGTAACACCGCCTTCATATCCTGCAAGAAGTAGAATTCTCTGCGTGGCTTGGCTACGAACAAGCTTCACAGCCATGACCATTCCGGTCTCAACTGTCTGTATACGTGGGACCCTGACTTTGAGTAGCTCACTAGGGAAGCTGTACACGTCGATCACTTTGTCATCCGTCGATGGGAGTGCTACAAAGATGGAATCGTCTTCCGCGATCGACGTTGGATACTGATAACACATTGAGAAGGAACAAAAGTTCAGAGTGTTTACGGGAAGTGAATGGAGAAGCCATGGTTTTGGAGTGACTTGTCGGTTCCCGTCTTCAGGCAGTGTCGATGAGAGCTTCCCTGCCTCATCATCTGACTCCAGTCGCCAGATCCTTATTCGGTTGTCTCGGCCATGTCTAGACACAATCTGGAGTCAGTATAACCCAGCAGGTAATGGCGTAACAGCTGGTGGAAGTGGAGAATGATTTAACACTGTCCTAAGGTGAGCTGCGGGGTGTTGTAACATGACTCACGTGATGATGTTTGCTTCTCCCCATTGTGCGAATCCTAAAATGGGGCCATCGTGGGCTGGCCAGACTGCAAGTGGTCGCTTAGTCTGAACATTCCAAAAGACGACCCAGCCATCTGCGTCGCCTGTCAACAGACGGCTATTCTGGCGCACAAACAGAGTACTGTGAATGTGCGCGGCATGGCCACGAAGGATAGCGGTAGGCTGTGCGGGTGGGAGGGTGGCTATCTGGCGCTCTACGGCCATGAGCAAGCTGAGGTATTAGTTTCGGGCAGGCCGGCGCGAGAGACGATCGTCTAGAAGCGATGGTGGGGCCAGTGATGAGCGGTTGAATGTCGGTTATAGAACGCGAACGACGGGTACATGCGCAGTTGGCACGATTGCGGGCTAGGCTTTGCCTTCTCAGATGGTGCTTGATTTTGGTGCGCTAATGTTATCTGGCAGCTGCTGTAGGGGAGCAGTGTAGCCATGGTGAATGGTAGAGAGGAAGATGAATCATGTCCTTTCAGCTCGAGTGGATACAAAGGCGTCGCCAGGTGCTCAAGGATGCCAGGTGCTATGACAGTGCAAAGATTGCCGAGGCGTACAGGGATCTATTCTGGTCTTGAGCTTAATCACAAAACTCTACAAGATTAGACGAGCAGCAATGCAGCCAGTCAGCATCTCACGGAGCGTTGAAGCTGCGCGGGCGCAACGCGACATGCAGATACCAGAAGCCGGTTGGGCGACGTGTGTCTGCAAAACCCATCTATCTGCTCAGTAATTTCTGGCGTATTGTATAGCTGAAGACAAGTGACCCACTTAGGCCCTCATGTCAACACTCTCCCGCCTGCGCCACAATGCGTAGCTCTTAGCTCTTCGCACGAACTACCACGAAGGATGCTAATGTGCTGGGCAGTACGTCTCGCTGCAGAAATGATATACAGCAATTGAGGGTCCGCGGGACGGGAAGAGCGGTTTCCATGCTACGTCGCCGAAGGTCACAACGAATCCAAGCAAGTTTGCACATCATTACCGGGAGGGCGCGCACATCATGGCGTCGCACCCCGGACTGGCGCATACCAAGGCCCAGATGTCTTCCGGACAGCGCATTTCTCCTTCCTCTTCGTCCTTCGTCTTAGGATCGTCGTGATAATTCTCCAGCTGCCCACATTTTGCTATCCGGGATCCCGGAATATGTCTTGTTTCAGAGTATAACTGTCAACGTTACAGGCCCCTCGGTTCACGGCCTCGCGTACACCTGCCCTCGCAACCCTCCCTGAGCACTCTCCTATCGTTCGTCATAGCCTGCATTCACGCCAGCCCGCTCAGGTATAATCCAATATTCCACCTCTCCTCGCGACTCGCTCTCGACTCTTGTTTGCTTCTGTCCCGCCAAAAGCACCGCCTTGTCCCATGACTTTCCTGGCCCACCCCTCAACCTAGACACCTTCGCGTTCCTGCATGTTAGTTGCGGCCGAACGCCTGCAGAAACCCTCTTGCGCAGCTCAGCACTGGACAACACGACCTCAGAAATACCCCGTATCCTTGCGCCTGACGTTGGACTTTTGTATTCGCATCACTACAGCGAAGCCGCGCCCTTGTATTTTCTCCATTGCCTTTGAAACATACCCTGTTGCGACCGCCCTACTGCGACTCTGCCACCCTCGACCCAACCCACAACCTTCTGCCCTTACTCGACTATCGGACACCAAAGGCGAAGTGGAGGGGCCAACGGACTCGGTTCACTGCACGCCCTGTTACGGGGTCGTGGTCGCCCTGCGTCGGCGAGCGACGGCACAACGACTGTTTTCAAACGAGCCGCGTGTAGTCGAGGAACGTCAGCATGGCCAACACGGCTACACCACCGTCCAATAATGACTCGCCCACGAGCAAGCCATTGCCCACGAGGAAGAGAGCCAGCGATGCGACGCCCGACGACAAACCCAAGAGAACACGCACTGGCTGCTTGACATGCAGGGAGCGCCATCTCAAGTGCGATGAGACCAAGCCAACGTGCAACAACTGCCTCAAGTCCCAGCGCGAGTGCAATTGGGGCAAGAAGCTCAACTTCCTCGACACAACCTGCGAGAGAAACGCATACCTGATCCCCCAGGGTATCGACTACCAGATAGCCTTCATGGACGAGTCACGGACCATTGCTTCGGAATACGTAGGCGGTCGAGAGATGTATCCAGTCGAGGATATGGAAGCAAACGCACCCATGGGCAACAACGGTTTTGGCATGAGACCACCAACTTCGTCGCGCCAGCACATTCCTCCTATGCAGGGCATTGCACAGGAGTCGTACCAGCAAGCACAACTCTCCTATAATTTTGAACAGCCGGCACAGCAGCACCATGGACGTTCAAGTAAGTCAAGGTTCCGTGGAGAGAATTCCAGCTGACTCTCCCAGTATCAAGTTACTCAAACGGCCCAACACCGTCCCCATACACGATGGAACATTCCGCAAGCCCCGGGCCCTTGCCCACGCGCGATTACCTCAAGAGCCAGGAGGAGGTTTTATACATGCAAGTCTTCGTCGAGGAGATTGGCATTTGGATGGACAGCATGGATGCGCACAAGCATTTCTCACGCCTATTACCCTTTCATGCGCTGAACGAGCCTATGCTGTTACACGCTTTCCTCGCATGCGGTGCGCGCCATCTTGCCCTTGTCAATCCCAAGTATAGCGAAGAAAAGGCACTGCACTACTATGATGTAGCTACACGCGATCTGTTACACTCTTTGCAGGATCCCGACCGCGACACCTTCCTGTGTGCGACCACGGCGGTAATATTGAACGTATATGAAATTATGGGCGAACGTGCGCTACAACGGATGAACCACATTGCGGGAGCTCGTGCTTTGATCAAGGAATGCCGATGGAATGCTAGATCGACGGGCATTGGAGCGGCCTGTTTTTGGCTTAACGTTGGCATGGAGATCTTGAGCTGCTTGCACTTCAACTGGCAAGTTGCGTGGGATCCAGACGAATGGGGCATCGAGATGGACTTCACACCAGAGACCGAGTCGGGTAAGGAAGAAGTCTGGACACACCGCATTCTGTATGTCGTCGCAAGGATCTGCAACTTCCGTGCGTCAATACCGAGGAACCAGGAAGTCGCCAGGCAAACCTTGCAGGACCGACACAACGAATGGCTTCGGCTAAAAGACATGACGGACAGGTGGAACGAGAACATACCGCGCACCATGCACCCGATGGCATATCTATATCCTGGACAGACCATATCAGGCTCAGCGTTCCCTGAAGTCTGGCTAATCAAGAGGGCATCGATAATCGCGCGGCTCTTCTACCACACATCCCTTGTCTTACTAGCGCAGATCAACCCACTGCAAGGCCCTAGCGAACCTGACATGTGGGCTATGCTTGAGCAAAACTCCAAATTCATCTGCGGTATCAGTGCACACGTCAAGGACCGTGGTGTAGCCAGTGTCGCGCTTCGATCTCTCGCCATTGCTGCTGAACCACTTACGGACCGACGCGAACAAGAAGAGGTGCTCCAGATTTTCGACAAGATCAGGCAAGAAACAGGCTGGCGTGTAGGATTCGTCAATACAGAGCTGAAGCAGAAGTGGGGCTGGGATACACCGCAAAACCAAGAGCAGAAGCCACAGCAGCAACCACCGCCTCCGCCGCCTCCACAGCAACAGCAGCAAATGAACGGACATATGCAAGAAGGCAATGTTGTATATCAACAACAACAGCAGCAGCAGCAGCAGCAGCAGCAACAACAGCCCCAAGTCGTCGTCCAGCAGCAGATGCCGCAAGTCTCGGTAGCACCTGCTCCGGTACAGCGGCGCGCTTTTGGCAATCCTCTGCTTGTGGCAGACTTCAGCATGCCACAACACCCATACCAAACCCACTATGTACCCGCAAACATAGTCCAGCAACAGCAACCGCAAACATTACTCCAACCGCCACTGACCGCGATGAACGGATATGGCGGGCAACATTTCTTCTAGCAATCTTTAGCACGACCTCAACTGCTGGTTCTGGTTTTTCGTCTGACTTCTGGATTTGTATTATTTGGCTCTTGGTTCATGACCATTTTCATACAAGGGGCAAGGCGCTTGGGTTTCTATATCTGTGCCTGGGACAAGAGTCACTTTCTTAACGATGTCATGAACAGCATATTTGCGATACCTAATAACAAGATCACGAGGAGGATATTTTGAGATAGGATGGTACACATGGGACTTTTGTAAATATATACCCTTGGATTTGAAAAGATATGGGCGGGAGCTGCTCTTGTGAGCATCTGTCCCCATTTACACTTGCACACCTCCTCCAAGCCCTTCCTTTGATAGCGAGTCACGGGCTTGCATTCTGATCGTGCACCATCGAAACTACGATATAGAATCGCATCTCCACTCGCTGATAGCTCGGATCTTGAACGCTAGCTGGGACCCGGTATTCCCTTCGGCAAAGTTCCGTTTGGTGTGATTGAGCTTCGTCGACTAGTCATCATTAGGCCGCCCGTCACTTCAGCCCTGACTCTAGCTTTGTACGCCACAACTACTAGTACAACGCAATTCCTCCATCTCCATCTGATTTTGGTAAAAGCACTTGCACATTAACGCCTCCGGTTGTTCAATTGAAGCGACGGGATGGATATGAGTGGGTTGCGGCCATATACGGAAGGTGTGTTTATGGGATTACCCCTTTCCGCTGCACTGCACAACATGCAGCTTTATGCGGGACCACAGTATGTGGCTGCTGACATTCCAATCTCACGGTATTTTCCTCACTCCCAAACACGTTGCGTACGGGATCTGTTTCCTATAATTTGTTGTTTGAGCAAAGACCACGAGTACGAGCAGTTCGTCGATCAGGTTCGCGACATTCGGCACGACATATCCACATGCAAAGGATATCTTGGGCGACTCTGCAAATCGACTATCCATTATGCTAACTTTGTAATTATTCTATTGGTCGGGATTAACGGAATGGTGGCGCTTTCCCCTGTGTTTTGGCGAGTCAGTGCTCGACTGTGCCGCAATATGCGATATAACCAAGCGTCTCGCGTGCCTAACAAAGGAAATACGAATAGGCATCCAGCCGCCAGCTACGCCACACGAAACTTGGCTTGTGTATCATCTCGGAGGAACATTGCTACTTGAAGATGTCAGCAGTACCTCGCGTAGATCTCCCCTGGGAATCACTCTTCTCCTATCCTTTTCGTTCTCTTCAAGATGCGTCATGATTTCTGGGACGAGAAAACTACGTACTATGGGCCGAGAAGACATTCTTCTCCTGCAGGACAAAGGAAACGTAGCCGGCGTGCGGGACTTTTAGGGATCGCAGTCTGCTTTCTCGTTGTCTACCAATTTCTCTTGCCGCAGCAAAACGAGACCACTGTCCATCCACAAGGCGCCAACGATACATCTAGCTCTGGGTTGTCCTCTGCACAGCAAATTTCTCAAGGCGCCGAAACACCATTGTGCCCGGAATCGCCAATCGCAAACGATGTCCTGGTAGTTCTTCGAACAGGGGCGACAGAAGCCCTTGAGAAGCTACCGGTTCACTTCGAGACAACACTTCGTTGCGTGCCAGACTATATCGTCTACTCAGACCTCAAAGAGGAGATCCAAGGCCACCAGATCCACGACGTTTTTGAAGGAATCAGCGACGAGCTTAAAGCTTCCGCACCAGAGTTCAAACTCTACGACCATCTCCGCACACATGGCAGGGAGGGTTTGAAAAACACCACGCATCTAGGAAGTGGCCCAGGTGGTGCGCTGGATAACCCTTCATGGAAACTTGATCGTTTCAAGTTTCTCCCCATGGTAGACAAGGCTCTGCTGTACCGTCCTAATGCGAAGTGGTTCGTGTTCATCGAAGCGGATACTTACATGGTTTGGCAAAATATGCTCGAGTACCTGCGCCAGTTCGATCCCGACCAGCCGTTATACATCGGAAAGCACATGTACATTGGACAAACCTTGTTCGCTCATGGAGGGTCTGGGTTCGTCTTGTCGTCCGCTGCTATACGAAAAGTAACTGAACAACGAAATGCCAACCTCGCCGAATATGACGAGTTCACAACCAAAAGCTGGGCGGGTGACATGGTACTAGCCCAGGCCTTGAAAGACGTTAATGTAGACTTGTTTGGGGCATTCCCCCATTTCCAAGGCGATCCAGTTTCATCACTCGACCACAATGTAACGAAGCTCGACAAAACACCCTGGTGTTACGCGCCGATCACCTACCACCACATGCGGCCAACCGATATCCAAAGCCTATGGACCTTTGAGCAAACACGTCAGCAAATTGGCAAGACCCCACCCCTCCACCGCGATGTCTTCCAGGAATACATACTCCCCCAGCTCTATGCCGAAGTTGATGACTGGGATAACCTATCTATGGACGTAGAGGTTGACGACACCGGCCCCTTTGAGGCATGCGAGTTACTCTGCCATTCCAAACCAACCTGTCTCCAATTCTCCTATGCCGCAGGGAAATGTTCGACGTCTACGAAAGTCGTGCTCGGTGAAAGTGCAAAGATGCGATGTGTGGAGTATTCTGATGCGGCGAGTAAATGTATTCGCTGGCAAGAGGGCACACAATTTGCTGGCTCGATTCAGTCTGGGTGGATGATGGATCGGCTTGAGCAGTATGTGATGGAAATGGATAGTACGTGCGCTGATGAGGTGAAGTGGGTTATTTGAAAAATGGCCAGCAATTAGCGATTGACTGTCGCGCCATCTTGGCTGGTTTGTTCAGAACAGTGAGGAAAAGGGGATCAGCCTGTCGGTGTCGTCTCTTTTCATGACTGCGATGCTGAACATCTGACAGCTGGGGTGGACCCTGTGTTGAAGGGTCTGAACGACTGCTGCAGCCACACGTTCCAGACAAAAGATGGTGGGCGAGCAGCGCTGGCCTCAAGCTCTCGGTGACCCTTTTTCAAGTCATCTGGTCGTTCCAGAACATCTCCTGTGAGCGATTCGCGATGCAGGCTAGGCAAACTTGATGGAGAAGGCTGCGTTTGACTGGACTAAACGATTGACATGGATGCGAAGAGTCAGGACTACAAACTATTTGTATGGTTAGGAAGCGAAGGCGATCTTAGGAGAGACGGCAGAGCACCGCGAATTATACCCGCCGAGTATTGAGGCACAATATTATGTTTTCTATAGTAGACGGAGAAATGAGACGACTTCAACATGTACTGTTCATCTGCCTCTAATGTGTTAAAACTCGAAGATACCTGGAGCGCAAATCACATGCACAAGTAAGACAAGATATTATTCAATGTGATAAAATTCTGCTATATACATTACGTTCATTTCTCGTTTGTCCTATTATCAATGCCCTACTTCGATGTGTCAAGAACATAGCGTCCAGCAATGGCACCCTTGTTCATCTTGTCATAGACCATCTGAAGTTCAGATAGACCAACAACCTTGTAGGGGGCCTTGATTAAGCCACGGCGGAAGAACTCAATAGCCTCCGAGCTGTCCTTGCGGTTGCCGACATATGAACCTTGGATCCTGATCATCTTGATGACGGTCTCGAAAACAGGCGCCTTCAGATAGGCGCCAGCTGGAAGACCAATGCAGATGACTGTACCGCGTGGGCGGACGTACTCGGCGGCTTGCTGGAAGGGCTTCTCGTTGACGGCGACAAGGATGACAACATGGGGACCAAGGCCATCGGGTGTTGCCTTTTGTACATCGGCGACGAGGTTCTTGCTCGTTGAGAAATCAACAAAGGCCTCGGCACCGAGCTCTTCAGTGCACATCTTCTTCTTCTCGTCACCTGTGTCGATAGCAATTGTTCGTACACCCATTGCCTTTGCGTACTGGCAGGCAAGCGAACCGAGACCACCACCAGCACCGACAATGGCAGCGAATTGACCAGGCTTAACGCCCGACTCTTTCAGGCCCTTGTAGACAGTGATACCGGCGCACAGAACTGGGGCAATAGCGGCGAGATCGCACTCCTTGGGAATGCGTGCGACGTGGGCAGCTTTTGCGATGCAGTATTGCTGGAATGTGCCGTCGACAGTGTATCCAGACAGAAGAGGCTTCGGGCAAAGGGGCTCATCAGCTTGTTGGCAGAAATCACAGGCCAGGCAGGATCCGTTTAGCCATTTGACACCTTGACGATGAGTTAGTAGTGCTCGAACATACCAAAGAATGACTTACCAGCATAATCGCCAATTTCTACATCTGTGACAAGGTCACCTCGTGCGACTACAACACCAGCACCTTCATGACCGCCGACAAGAGGTAGCTTGGTAGCCTAGGTGCCGTCAGCATATGTTAAGATTGGCAAAACGAGATATGCTCACCAATGGCCAGTCACCATTCACAGCGTGAAGATCTGTGTGGCAGACACCACTGTACTTGATGTTGACGAGAACCTCATCTGGACCGGGCTTCTGGACGGGAATCTTCTTGTAATCGACGGGTCCGCCGGTCTTCTCGATGACCTGCGCCCATTGCTCCTTGGGAATTTCGCTCATATTGAAGTGTGTAGTGGATATTGAGGAGTTGCTGGAGTGTTTATAGCAGTAGATCGATGGTGTGATTGATGGTAGATGAGTTCAGTCTTGCAGGAGGTACGCGGTTTATATACCTTTCATTGCGGCACAGAGAAGCTCAAGACATTGACCCCACCCGGGATTAAACCTGCGAGTTGAACAGGGTCCGAATGTATCCGTGCCTCCTTACAGGAAGCTACAGGCGCTGCGTCCGTTCATCCATGGCCAAGCAAGGTCTTCTGCTGACCCCTAGAGGGGTACATGGAGTGGGATTGGACGCTGATCGGATCATGATGCTTCGGCTGGGTGGCAGCGACCATAGCGTGAGCGCGGAGTATCCGTGGTAAGATGGAAACTAAAGCCAGAAAGAGAGAAGTGGAGGTGGCCTGATTCTAGCGCATGTAAATCAGCTCAGGGATCATGGTTCGACACAAACTTTCGTTTGCTGTGGTGTGAGGGGTGACTTGGAGGATGTGTCGCCTAGGTGGGGTCGGCGTTAGGCGACTAGCCTCATTCAACGGGATATCTCCTGATACTTGTCGCTCAGTACCTATCGTCCACGGCCGCTGCCGCAAAGATATCAAGGCGAAAATCTATTCCTGTTGGAATGACATGTTGACTGAAGGCTTGAGTGACGATGGCAACGTCCTGTTCCAGGCTCGGCCACAGTTCGGTTCAACCGCGCCTCGTCTCCATCTGGTCCCTCCACCAGCATCATTCTACAGCTCATGTGAGAAGTAAAGCCCCGTAAGTGCGCATTTTGGTTGACGAAACCTGCCAACTGGGTCGGTCGAACGCAATCTCAAACGCTATTCCCAGGCCTTCTGCGTAAGCTTGTCCAGCCACATGTAGCCGTGCATCTACATCTTCCAATTGAGGAAGTCGAGGAAGCTAGCTGGCCAATAAGACACCCCTAGCATTGCCTCCAGACGACTCCACTACACGCGGCTCCTGTTGTACTATGCGGGGGTTCTGAGTCCCGGGAAGCGTGGTTGTAGCGCGTCCGCAATCGCGGGGTAGTTTGCAAGCTGTGGCTCGCTGGCGTCTATTGAAAGTAGCCGGAGGTTACGGAGCAAGGGGTGGTAGGAGGTGTGTTTCCCAGGTTCAGAAACATAGACTCCGAGCAAGGTCTAAGTTGGTCGCAAGAGTATCGTTTGTCTTGGACGTCAAGATGTGCGGGGCTGAAGATCTGTTGGAAAAAGCACCGGGACTAGAAGATCCGTAGACACGTATCTTGCTGCTAGCTGGGTCTGCGGGCGACAGGAGGGGAAAAAACCGGAGTCGGGGTGCTCATAACATTGGAGCAGAAGCACTCTCTTATGCAAATGGCCTCCTGAGAACCCTGTTGCATAAATGAGTACCTTCATGACTTCTCCTGGGCTGGATGCGAGAGCTCGATGCGATGCCTGGTGAAGTCTGGGACCAGGCCTAATGCAGCCCTCTGTCATGACTACGATGCATACCTTGGACTCGACTCGAGCTTCGAGACGATCGTCTCATCATACAAACGGATACAAGGTTTTCACAGAGTAATACATAGCCAATAGCAAGGCACAGAGGAGCCAGAGTGTAGGGACAAGAGCATCATAAAGTTCATTGTGGTATCATAGCCAAATCGAAGGCTTGCAAGTATTTAGTCACGAACAACGTTACAGCACATATTGAGGCGCGCAAAAGCTTGAACAGAACGCGTACGCCAGGTGCGATCACACCTCTACTGCACCATGACGTCGGCAGCCTCGCCATTCCCATTAGCCGAACGCTCATCGGCGTCCTGCAAGCCAAGAGGTAACGCGGGAGGGATATCCTTTTGAGCAGCTCGAGCCTTAGTCTCTGCCCACTGCCGTAAACGCACCAGGCTCCTCATGCGGGATTCTCCATGAGCTCCCATGCTGGTGAGTATCGCCTCATTGACCTTGCTGGCAACATTGCGACGAAGCGAAGGTTCAAGTAGCTCATTCAACTCCTTCTGTAGTGTCCCGGGGGCGGCAGGAAGGAAGATGAGTAACGACATGGTAAGTTCAAGGTCTTTCAAGAAATCATTGTTCGTAGCTGCGCGGGGAGCGAGCTGAGACGAAGCGAAATTAAGCGCGGGTGTGATATCGGAGGTGGAAGACGACGTGCATGCGCGAATGAGCTCAATGAGCTGCAGTCGCAGCAGTGCAAAGTGCAAAGATGGGTCTGTATCTAAGATCTGACTCAAGAATTAGCAAAGCTCAGACAAAGTTATGCAATATGAGTAGATGTAGTTGCTTGCAATCATACTGAGGACTGAAGGTTTGATTATCATCAAAGAGATTCTGCGTGGTGCATGAAACTGGATATAATCCTGCAAGATAAGAAAGGAGTGAGCAAGGAATGCATACCTGAGGGTTCAGATCATTGATCTTGGTAATGGCATTATCAATATCGCCAGCATGGATAGACCGACGTATTTCTACGCGGGACTGAATGGACTCCTCCTCAAGAGGCAGCTGGATGTTGGCTTCCTTGGCAAACTTTTCAGCAGCTCTAGGATAGCCTTCGCTAACCAGGTAGTCCATGATGACGAAGTTGATATCCCTGTAGCAGAGTTGTTAGCTTTGCGATCCAGTAGCACATGTTGTATTGCGCAAAGCAGCAGCTACTGCAAGATCAGAGATACAAGTTAACATGTTCTCCACACGTTGTTTCGGAGAGATTCCCAACTTATTTTGAAATCATCATGTGGGACAGCAGCTGCGGCGACGCGGAAGGGTAGTAACTTACGTCTTAGACGGCTTGATGTCATCAATCTTCCTCTGGAAAGGATGCTGCGTTGGCGTAGCCGCCGACACAGATACTGTGGATGAGCTCTGCATGATTGTTAGAGGGTGGGGAGATTTGCGACAGCAGTGCGTTGGAGCTTACCATGGTGAAGCGAGGCGCTCAGCAAGCCTCAGCCGACGTCCATCAGCGAAAGATAGAGCTGCCCGACCGTTGGTCGAGTGTGCTGGCAGTCACGCAAAGCTTGGTGCGTGATGAGAGAAAGTTTGTGAGTTCAGGTTCGTGGAAGAGAAAGACTGAGCTTGCGCGCTTGGCGACACTAGTGCATGTGGGTCACCTTACGTAATCCCGACACTAAGTACAGAGCCGCCCGCTGCACAAACCCGATTGTGCTGGAACCCTGCATACGCTCGATATCTTTCAATCTTGCTACGAGAGGTGCGAATTGGTAGGGTATGAAGTAGCAGAAGCACGGTTTCACTTGGAAAATTAAAGATATCGCAAACATGTCCTCGGCAGGCCGCAGAACGCACTACGAACCGCCATGGGGCAACGCGAGTATTATTGGTGTAGCTGGCAGCTCGGGATCTGGAAAAACATCTCTGGCAATGGCTATCGTGGCGTCTCTGAACTTGCCATGGGTTGTCATCCTGTCTATGGTTCGTACCAGCCTCGCACAGTGGGTCACGTGCTCCAATCAGCTAAGGACCACTGCATGTAGGATTCGTTCTACAAGCCCTTGACACCAGAGCAATCTGCAGCGGCTTTCCGAAACGAGTTTGACTTCGATTCGCCAGACGCTATAGACTTCGATATCCTGGTCGAGCGCCTGAAAGACATCAAGAACGGCAAAGTGGCTGAAGTTCCCATATACTCCTTCCAGAAGCACGCCCGCCTTTCCAAGACGACGACAATCTACTCTCCCCACGTCATAATCCTGGAAGGCATCTTCGCTCTGCATGATCAACGCGTGCTCGATCTCTTGGATCTCAAGATTTTTGCCGAAGCCGATGCCGACCTGTGTCTCTCGCGACGTCTCGTGCGGGATGTGAAAGAACGTGGCCGAGACATTGAAGGATGCATCAAACAATGGTTCTCCTTTGTAAAGCCCAACTTCTACAAATATGTTGCCCCACAAAGGGAGATTGCTGATCTTATCATTCCAAGAGGTATCGAGAACAAGGTCGCAATCACCATGGTGAGCAATCAGGTTCGGCAGACGCTAGAGAGTAAGAGCATACAACATCAGACGGAGCTAAGACGACTGGGAAAGATAGCGGAAGATAGTCCTTTGAGTGGGAATGCTATCGTGCTGAAGCAGACGAATCAGGTCAAGGGGATGCATACCCTGTTGCTGAACCCAAGCACACCGAAAGAGGACTTTGTGTTCTACTTTGACCGCATGGTGGCGCTTTTGATAGAAACCGCTGCGGATTTCTTGCCTTTCACGCCGCATGAGGTCACTACACCTCAGGACTACAAGTACCAGGGGCTAAAGAAGGTTGCAGAAGTTAGTGCTGTTGTGGTGCTACGTGGTGGAAGTGCATTCGAAACGGGCCTTCGACGGACGATTCCAGACTGCAGGACTGGCAGGGTTTTGATCCAAACAAACTTCAGGACTGGGGAGCCAGAGCTGCACTACCGAGCCCTTCCTGCAAACATTGCCGAGCATGGGCTTGTCTTGGTTCTGGATCCGCAGTTCTCTACAGGGGCGGCCGCACTGATGGCAGTCAGGGTACTGGTCGACCATGGCGTACCCGAGAGCAAGATCGTCTTCGTGACGTACACAGCAGGTCGTGTCGGACTCAACAGGGTGTTGAGCGTATTCCCGGACATTAAGATTGTGGTTGCAAGGCTGGGTAACGATGAGGAGGCGCGATGGATCGAGACGAAGTATCTGGGGTGCTGATACGGGAGCGCACATCACGAATTACGCAAGTTACAGCGGGCTGGTTGAGACTGCAAACGATCTTCACTATATGATTTGATTTCACGCTCGACTGTATATAACCAATATACTCTTGTCCGAACGCCATGCCTCTTGCCAACGCCGATAAACGCAGGTTCGCGCCGAACCAGTAATGCATCGCTATGTTCGTTGGGTATCATAGGAAGTACTCCGTTGTAACCTCCTTTCCTTGTTGTTGCTGCTGCTCTGCCCGGTGGACATCGTTGTCAGGGCTCGCATCGAAGACATTAAAGAAGCGTTCGCCGGTGTCGCTGACCTCCAGTACACTCGCCATGTTGCCACACCGATAGCAGTAATTGGGCGCACTCCAGACCGTGCTGAGCCTGTCATCGTACAGGACTTGGTACCCTTCTTGACATAGCTGGTGTGCGCGTAGAATATGCGACATGGAGTTGACCTCGAGGAACTTTTTGACTACTTGTGCTCCAAATGTATAGCCTGCACCCCTCGGGCTAAGCGAGAACTCGTCCCGTTCAGGATCGGGGTCGCTCCAAACCAGGTCCGCCATAGGCCCCTCGTGCGGGATTTCTCGAAAACGGTCTATGATTTTAATTTGGTCGATGGAGTGAATCGACGGTGACAAGCCGCCGTGTACGCAGAAGATCTGGTCGTTGATGACGACGGATAGAGTGAGGAAGTCGAACATGTCGGTGAAATAGTGCCATACGTTCGCATTGCCGTACTTGCGCGAGCATTCGGTATAGAAGCCATAAGATTGGGTGACTCCGCGAGATTCGTGGTTGCCGCGTATGAGGTGAACTCGGTGTGGATAGCGGAGCTTCAAGCATACAAGGAGTGATATTGTTTCAACGGAGAAAAGACCACGATCGACGTAGTCGCCTAGCACACGTCAGCGTCGTGAACCGGGGTCGCGTGCCACATGTGGCCAATGAAGCAGAACATACCCAGGAAAAGGTAGTTGGTATCAGGACATGGTCCGCCAATCTTGAATATCTCCATCATATCAAAAAACTGCCCGTGAATGTCACCCACGACAGTGACGGGCGCTCTGATATGCACGACATTGCTCTCCTTCATGAGCAGCTCCTTGGTCTTTGCGCATATTGCCTCGACGACCGACTCGGCGAGCAGTTCTTTCTTCGACAGGCGCGATATGCATTCATCGAGGTCTACGGTAGCTGCCAAAATGTCAGCACAGCCATGTACACAGTGCGCAGGCGGCGTCGGCGACTGACGTACACGGTAGACCGGGCATGGTGGTGTTTGTGGCGTTGGCGTCGGCGTGGGAGCATCCGCGGCGCAGCTCAGGGTATTGAGTCTATACTGGTCGCTAACAGATGTCTATATCGTACAATCATCCTCGGGGGCGCATCGAGGGTCGTAATACGGGCGATGGCGCAAACGCGAGCAACATGGGAATGGGGGGCAATGTGTGCTGTCGGTCTGAAATGCGGCGGCATCCCGCACATGTCTTGGCCCGAGCGCAAAACGTGACTACGCTCCAAACTTCATTTCAACGCGACGTCCGTCTGTCAGACTTAGACATAGGTTACGCACTCGATTTCTTTGCCTGTCACATCTCTGCTCCTGCTGCATCTACTTTGACCCTGTTGTTCCGAGGATACCCCTCTGCACTCTTCCCAATTCGCCATCTGCATCCTGTTGTGCTCTCAATAGCAACTTCCAAGGGTTTTCCTCACATCAGCCTGGCTTGTTTCACCCTTCCATCAACTCAATTCCGTCTTTCCCAACGTCATAGTCTCGCCCTCAAACAGTCAACTTTCACGTGTTACCTGGGCATATTGAGTTGCAGACCCCTCTATGAGCTTGGGCTTCTCTTTCGTCCTGGCTCGTGCGCTCGACCAGACCAAATTTTGAGACGCGCACCTCGCCGGCTCGCACTTCGAGATCTCTTGCCAACATCGAGTTCAACTGCATCACCATTTTCAAGCAATTCATCGGCTCGCATTAGTGCTGGTCTGATATTGCTCGTCTTGCGCGTCTTGTGCATCGATCAGGTAAATTGCTTTAGGTGGTATGTCGTGGAGCGGGCCCGTGACGGGTGCGACGCCTTTCCAGCAACAACCATATGCCAACGGTCAGCCATATGGACAGCAGCCACCCTATCAATACGGACAGCAGCCAGCACAGCAGCCAGGATACGGGCAGTATCAGTCAGGAGCGGCCTATCCGCCAAACGGTCCACCCCATAGGGCTCATGTTCAGTAGGTCGCCTCTATCCTACCACTTACCCTCAGCTTGCATCTTGCAAAATGCGAAGTTACAGTTTGTAGCTCCGTGGAATCATCTCCTGACACATGCATAGGCCGCCAAAGAAAAAGGGGAATCCCATAATCACCCGGTACCCTCCTCCCCCAGGTTACCGTGGACCGGCGCAACCTCAGGGTACTTTTGGCTCCAATCAGTTTCCCAATCAATACCAACCGCCACAGCCAGCGTTTTCACAGACACAGGCAGCACTCCCAAACTATCCACAGCAAGGTTATACTGCTTCTGCTGCGCACCAGAACTATTCTGCTCAAGGTTATAGTCAGCCACCGCCGCAAGCGTCCAACTATTCACAATCCTCATATCCACAAGCACAACCTAATTACCAATGGCCGCAACCTGGCTACTTGTCAAATTCGGGCTACTCGCAGCCTCCAAACCAACCTCCCGCGCAGCCCCATGCACCACCTCAGAGCCATTATCAAGGCTATCAGCCCCATCATCCCGCTGCTAACCCTAACCAGCAGGCTTATGGCCAGAATTCAGCGTGGTCGCAACAGCATGCTCAGTCTACGCCAGATCCTCACGCCACACCAACCCAGGCGACTATTCACCTCAATACAGCTCATCCTCTTCCATCATCTAACCAGTCAACCAGTGCCGTAAGTGAGGGAAGTTCGAGCGAGAAGCCACAACTATACCTTGCCTGGGATGATTGGGATTTCGACTTTGATGGTGCGATATGGCCCAAGAGCAATGAACCTGTCGATCCGGCGTTGAGTCTCGGTGTCATTATCTGGCATCCCGCCAAGCAGGTGACACGTGCGTTACCCTCGACTTTCGCCGAGGCTGAAGCAGAGGCTCTGAAACCCACGCCTGAGAAACTGGACAATGGAGATTCAGTGTCCATGTACTTTACCGCTGACAACTCGCATGAGGCTTTCTTGAACGTCAGACAGACGGATGAATGGGAGATACTCAAGGACGACCCAGTCTTTGTCGAGTTTACAGACGAGGAAATGAGATCAAACCTGGTCTCGTTAGAGGATTGTATTGCGCAGCGAGACCGTCCCGACGAATCATACGAGGAGACACGACAAGATGAGGATCTAGAGATGCGCGATGCTACGTGGGACATTATGGATAACCTTGAGCAAGCACTCGCTACTAACAACGGTGCCGCAAAACCCGCTGCTATGAAATCTGAAACAGCTTCTCCTCAACAGCTAAGCCAGGAAGACATTCTCGCCAAGTTAGGCGTGACCGGAACTCCCAAGCCGCCATCGAATGATCACATCTCATTGCCGTTATCAGCCTCTGATGCGAAGCCTCCGGCATCGCTTCCCGGGAAGCCATTGCTGGCCCCTTCTCCCGCAAAGACCACTGAGTCTGTTCTTCTACCACAGCGTGCGCATTCTTTTGGAGGGCACCGTAACAGCGGACATGGACCTCCTCCTCCTCCTCGGCCTTATGGCTCCCTGTCGTCTTCCGCCAACTCCAGGCCTCATCCGCCACCGCCACCTCCCGAAGAACAGCGCTACGATCCTTGGAATGCACCTCAGCGTAGTGGTCATAGCCTTGATGACTCCAGGGGCAGCCCAGCACCCTCCGAAGGAAGCAATCGTACCATGGCAGGGTCTGATTTTGAACCTGAAAACTCCAGCAGCGGGACACAGCAGGACACGCCAACTGTACCCTCACTTGACCGAGGCGACAGCTCCTTCTCCCGGAAGAGGAGCTATGAAGATGCAGAGAATGAGCGTTTGCGGCAGCAAGAGGATCACAGCAAACGGAAGAGGCGCTCTCAGGTAGACGCCGCATATAGGTAGGCTTCTTTCTGTCCCTTCAATATTCTTCGGTTGCTTCACAGATTCTTACTAGGCACAGTCGCCGTTGAACAGCTAAATGTACGTCGGCACATCCACTGCTCCCTGAGCTCCGTACTCTCGACACATGGGTACCGATCATTGCGACTTCCGATCCGCCGACTTGGAACTTGCCTCCTCAGTATCTTAACCTCGGCCAACGATCTCCTTATGAGTCGGGAGCATCCGTTGATCTCAACATGTCTGCATGTTGAGAATTTTCAAACTCCGTCATTTGTTGTCTTGCGATTACATTCTTATATCAACAGGCGCAAAATAATTGCGGCCTCATTCTCTGATTTACACTACACTTCCATGAGTCTGGATGGGTGTCTTATGGGTATGGCGTCATTTAATGCTCTGTGTTCATTTGACAGGTTGCACATCATGTCCTTTTCTCCTCATTTTCTACTCCCGACGTACTGCGTTCTTGTCATCTTCACCGATATTTATATTAATCTCATTTGACTTTTATCCCCGCACAGTTGGCGCATTGATTCGCCTTGGAACATATTTTTTCCTCGCATCGTCGCCATATTCTTCGTCACCAACCAAGCATGATCCTTACGTCTACAAGTCTTGTTTCTCTGTTGCTTGATCCTCTTTTTCGCTTTACCCTTGTAGGTCGTGGTTTGACTGCGCGATCTAGCAAGACTGTGCAGTTGTGCATACAGTAAGTATCTGTTCGATACTAGGCGCTTGAAACCAAGCGATATCAGCAACAGGGCCTATTCTGCTCTAGCAATTTCGTGGACAACTGTAAAAACTCTTTCGGTATGTGGCAAGTGCTAAAATCTTGAAGCGGGGTTGATAGACATGTTCGATACAAGATGCGCTGTAAGGTTTGCATGCTAGTTGACGATCCCCGACCTCCAATGTGGGGCATAGAGAAAGTTTGGGTTTGCTCCTCTCGGTATAAAATGGCAACTAGCTGTAGCAGATAGGTCGTGTGTCAGTACAGTTAACGTAGACAACGAATATAAAATTTCAGGGGTACAAAGCTGTCCTGTGGACCTGACAGATAATCACACGACATTGCCACTTGATCGATGTGACTGAGAGAACAAAGAATGGCATAGAAAGATTTCGGACTACAGACACATGCTCTATACGTTAGCTAGCACCGGCGTGGCCGCAGTGTCCCGTGTTTCGTATTCCATGTTCCTCGGCTGCATGCGCCACAGCTCAGCCACACGGTGCGTCATCAGGTCAAGCGACTGGTACCTCTCGCTCAGGCGACACCACCACGCCAGCATAACAACTGCAACCTTGCACCTACAGCGCTTCGACTATCTCAGAAATTTACTTCGTACATCACCGTCATCATGTGCGGCTCCGACTGCTTTCTGATGCTCTTGAGCGTCCTAGTACGTTGACGCCCCCACAGCTGTGGCAGGCACCAGCTGTTCATCTGCGACCCACGGCTCCACGGCTCCAAGTACTGACACGTTGACTAGTTCCCACCTGTAGGTGTCTGGGTCAAGAAAGGACTCTGTAGCGCCGACTCTCTTATCAACCTCGCGCTCTGCTGTCTTGGTTTCCTGCCGGGTCTCCTGCACGCCTGGTACGTGATCCTGCAAAACCCGGACCCGTACGACGCATACCATCAAGTACCCGACCGCGAGAACGGTACAACTAGCGACGGCCGAACAACATACTATGTTATCACACATGAGCAACCGGCTGGACGACAGGCGAACTATGGCACCGTGGGTAGCCAGCCAAGCAACGGACAGTTCCCCGGACAGCAGAGTGGCGTGACAAACAGTTTTGCGCAGCCAAAGGGACACAAAGCCTCCAAGGGCACTTCGCCTGCGACTGCGCCTGCACCGCAAGGCGGCGAGGGTAGCTCGAGCCAGCCCGAAGGGCCGCCACCGACCTATGCGGATGTGATCAAGGGCGACAACAAGGTTCAAGGCCCGTAGATTATGTTGTTGAAAAGAACAGTCTCAAGAGGAGGGGGCGACAAGGTGGTGTAGTTTGTAGCAGCATGGCGTTTAAGGGCTATGGTTATCGATATCTCGAGTGGGAAGGGAACAAACACTGTATACTAGACATTACCAATGCTGAATAATATCGGTGGACCATACACCTACTAGTATCGACATGCGACGTGCTTCTTGATCATGTACTGTGTGTGCATCGTCCAAACCTCAGCCCATACGTCATCGTACGGGCTGCATAGATCCTATGGCTGCAGGAACAACGGCAGACGCACCCGACTTCAAATTCCCAATCACGACTTACACCAGAATCGAGCGGCACGTAGAGGGAAAACTCCCATTCGAAATGTTACGCCACGAATCAAGTTGTCGCAGCGTGCCGCCACGTACGTCGACGCGGCATGCCCTCGGCGGTTGCGCACCAATGCTACGACAACGGCCCGGCATTTCTTTTGCTCTGAGCCCGCCGTCATCCATGACCTTTGCGCAACCTGCCTAGTTGGGTAATAGACAAGGGAAAAAGCAAGAATCGTTGAAATAATTTGATGCAGACTAGGGGGTGTATTCTCAGCAAGTCCTGTGCATGATCTGTAGTCGAAGGGTTGGCGAATGCGCGCCTCTGTTGACGTGCCATACTTGTCTCAGCCGTGCAACGGGGGCGACGGCGCGCAAGCAGAGAAAAACCAAGTGTTGTACGCTTACGGTGTACACGTAAATCACTCCTAAGACTGCAGCAGTAAGATCAGCGTAGCACACATGGTAGTAGGACACGGGGTGAAGCCTCCGACGCAGGCCATGCATTCATGAATGGAAAGCAAGGAAGGCTCAAGCCATCATCTGCTTCCCCGGATCAAGAATCGCAATGCCAGGCCTGCAGCTCGTTAATTGCCGACGACGACCAATTAAGCGTTTCGCAGTCTAGGCGCATCGTCATGCCCAGACCGCCTCTACGCCCCCCTCTTAGCCTAAGCCCCTAGCCAAGTACCTTGAGTGCATCTTGGTTCTATGTGACAAGGCTTGACTATCATGACGTGAAGCTTCGCATATCTCTGTTCTACGGAACAATCGACTGGTTTCCGAACGCAGTGATTTGTGTTTGCATGCGCGCGCTACTGAACACAGCCTTTGACAATCGCCATTAGCTTTGTTAGTCGCCCCCGTTCAACTGTGGCTGGAGCAGTCGACGCGTTTCTCATTCGTGCGAAGTGCACAACAGCCACATCTACTGACGAGTGCGTGCGCTGGCCTCCTGTTAACAGGTTTAATTACCTTGTGGCCCTTCTCCCTTTCTTCATTCATTTCACCGGTCCTTCTTTCACAAGCAATCCCATCGCCTACAATCTCCCGACCCCGAGTGCGAGCATTATCTCGCGTCTATCTCTCACCGGTTGCCTCAGGCACAACAACTTACGCGCTTGTTAGCCCAGACAGTTCTTCGCCCCCATTTCAACGGTTTCGGCCCCCAGCTACTTGTTCCGAAGCACAAGCACCTCGTTCCGAGTAACGACTACACACGCCGACCTGAAAGTCGCACTTGAGCGCGACTCTCGATTGGACTAAACCTCCACCCACCATTAAGTGGAAAAAGACGGCCCAGCTGCCGCGAAAGTAGATCAATGCGTAAGTGGATCCACATCTCCGAGGCATCGAGATCACGTAAAGTCTTAATCACCCAACAACTCGACATCTCCTGCCAAACATCAAACTCCCTCTAACGATGAACTTAGATACCGTACGAAGGCAGGCTCATCGCGTCGCATCGCAACATGGTGGGAATGGCGCAGCCAACTATAATCCGTTCGCCCGACAACGGTCGCGAGACATTAATCTAGATGAGGAGAACGCAGTATACAGAACGCGATCCGAAACACATGCTACTCCCGCTATCGAGGAGCAAAGACGGCTAGAAAGCAGGGAAGCCGGAAAGGAGTTTGGCATGCCCGACCACCACAACACCGAGCCCTCCGCATCTTCGCCAACATACGGCAGCGCATCTACGACTTTTCCAGAATCGACAACCGAGAAAGACTTGACTTCTCATTTGAACGGTACGCACAAGGCATCAGACGACAGCACAATCGTGCCTTCCAACCAAGAAAGCAATGTTGGTCCCACCCGACGAGCTAGGTTCAAGGGCATCTTCCGCAAAGACCATCAGGATGCTGAGAACGATGAGGCCGAGCATCCAGAGGCTGATGAACTTTCGTTGGAGGAACGTAAGAAGAAGGCGTTCAAGAGGAAGATTCCGGTTGGCGCACAGATCAAGTTCGTTCTCTTTGGTGCGTGGATCAACGTGCTCCTCGTCATGGTACCCGTCGGTTTCGCTGTCTATTATGCCAGGCTGAAGCCCGTCCCGGTTTTCATCATCAACTTCATCGCCATCATCCCGCTCGCGGCAATGCTGAGTAACGCGACCGAGGAGCTGGCCATTCGAGTTGGTGAGACTCTTGGTGGACTGTTGAACGCTACCTTTGGAAACGCCGTGGAATTGATTGTCTCCGTCCAAGCCCTACTCAAGAATGAGATCACCATCGTCAAGACCTCGCTTATTGGCAGCATGTTGTCGAATCTGCTGTTGGTTTTGGGCATGTCGTTCTTCCTTGGAGGAATCAACCGTCTGGAACAATTCTTCAACGTCACAGTCGCACAGACTGCAGCGTCGCTGCTTGCTCTTTGTATCGCATCGCTGATCATCCCAACTGTGTTCCACAACACCATTGCCGAGGATGACTCAGTCGCACAAAACGGTGCTGCAGATGCCGTCAGGAACCAGGAGTTGTCTCACGGAACAGCCGTTATCCTCCTCTTGGTCTACGCTTGCTACCTTGGATTCCAGTTGAAGACCCACGCCACCATGTACAATGAGCCCAGTCAAAAGGTTCCTAAGCGCAAGTCTGGCAAGAAGGAAGAGGGCGACGCATCGCGTGGTATCGCAGCCATTGGCGCTGGCACTGCTGCAGCTTCTGGAGGTGGTGTCAATATGAAGTCACTCTTCAAGAACCCCGACGGATCAGATGACGATGAGGAAGAAGAGGAGTTCGAAACACCATCGCTTTCCGTTATTGGCGCCCTCGTCACTCTCGCAATCTCCACTACTCTCGTTGCTTTCTGCTCCGAATTCATGGTCTCCAGTATCGATGGTCTCACCGCTACCGGTGGCGTATCTACAACATTCGTCGGTTTGATTCTGCTACCCATTGTCGGTAACGCTGCCGAGCACGCTACTGCGGTCACTGTCGCCATTAAGGACAAGATGGACCTCTCCATTGGTGTCGCTGTCGGCTCCAGTATGCAAATCGCTCTCCTCGTTTTCCCTCTTATTGTCATCTTGGGTTGGATTTTGGGCAAAGACTGCATGACCCTTTACTTCGACACCTTCCAAATCGCCACGCTGTTCGTCTCAGTATTGCTAGTCAACTACCTCATTCAGGACGGCAAGTCACGTAAGTTTTACAGCCGAACTCCTCACCCATTTAGCTTACTAACGGTACGCAGACTGGCTCGAAGGCATCTTGCTCATGGCAAGCTATATCATCATCGCGTTGGCAGCCTGGTTCTACCCCGACATTCAGGAGAACCAGTGCTAGAGCCATATCCACATTAGCTCTCACTTTTTCTCTTCTCTCTTTCATTCTTCGTGTACATATTTGTAGGGTCTCTGCAGAAAGAGGTGGTGTTTTGGGAGTCTAGGCTCATGGGAGTACATACTGCGACTGCTCTTTTTCCTTGAATTTGTTCGGATACCCAATTGTATATCAAGGGCTATAGAAGCACCTTATTCCAACACCAATACAAGCGATAATGTCTACTTTAGGTTCTTTAGTACAAAGTATATTTCGTGGTTGGACAAACGACCATATCGATGCTATGCGTGAATAACAAAAGCGATTGCTGTCAAGGACGCCATATGTCTGTTCAAGGTATAGCCCAGCACAACTCTTCGTTCCTCTGCGTGATCTTCATGCTAAAAGCTGATGCGCATTCTAGGTTGATTCGTTCGGGCCTTATATGTACACTGACCTACCCAAAAGCTGCGAGATCTCGACCCATTTTGCCGCCTACAATGCCCACTTCATCTACGAATCCAACTCAAACGACGGAGCCGGGAGTTTCTTAACATACCTTGTACGTTAGATGTGTTGGATTCCAGATTTGTCCCCTCTCACTCACCTTGCTTCAGTCTGCCAGACTCAGGTGCTTGTGCACGTAGCTTCAATCAAGCCTAGAATGCGCATTACTCTCTCACCACCAATCTGAATCTCCGACTCCCACTGCCCATCTCTCTCACCTGCCTTCTCCCCTCTTTCGTCAACGCTGCTACTGTCTATATAAATTTCACTTCCTGCTGCTCCTCCATCTTTCCTACACTACCGTCCTCTTGTCTCTTTGTCGTCCCTCAAGCCTGCCTCAACCTGTACTTGGCATCCAACTACTACGTCAATCTCATCTCAGCGCCAAGCCACCATGGCTCAGTCTGATGGTATCGACGTCGCAGTCGGCACTCAGACCCCGGTTCCAGGCACTGAGGGCCTCAACAACCCTGGCGTGGCGAGTGATGACTTTGAACATCAGCTTGACAGCGTGGAACAACAAGTTCAAGCAGTCTACAGCCACGAGTATCAAGAAGATGAAGACGAAGGCCTCGCTCATCGAGATCACAACGCCAATGGGGAGGCTATCGAAGAAGAGTTTCTTAATCATGATCAAGACACACCTGTTGCCTCAGTTGAGCAACAAGACGCCCCAGATATCCTCATGCACAACAGCTCTGAACAAGCACCACAAATCGATGACAACGACTCCACCTCATTATTCATCCCTGAGAAAGGCCACTCTCCGCTAAGGATCGGTCCCCGACAAACCTCCCTCGTGCCTATGAACCGTCCGTTACTCTCTGCCTCCCATCGCCAGAAGAAGCCTGGTATCTCAATCTACAACGCAATCAAAACCATGCAGAGAAAGAGGCAGGAACAAAAGCTTGTCGCCAGCAGACAGAGTTCGAAATATCATACCAACACCAACCTTGATAACGAGGCATACCTTGAGGCCGTCGTGCAAGGGCAATCCTCATCTATCGCAGCTCCGCCTGTCGATCCCGACGATGTTACAGACAAACAGGCAGCCATAGAATTCGAGAAGCAGAAGCGCTATTATGATGAGATCAAGAGGAAGACTGGCGGTCTTACATTCAAACAAGATGTTGAGTGGATGAAGATCAGAGGTGCTGAAACAGCTAGGAAGAGGAAGCGAGCTCGCGATATTGCGAAAGCACGAGAGGAAAATGAAGACGACCCAGAACTGTTCCCAGAATTCCACCTCCCAACGAACCACGAGCAAGAAGAGGATTCTGAGTACGGTTCCGACCTCGAGGATTCCGAACCCCGTAAGCGTCGCCGACCAATGCCGACGAAAGAAGGGAAGCAAATCACGATGCAGGAAGCTGAACTTCAGAGTATGCGAGTCGCTTTGGAGGCTGAAGGTGACCTACCGCGAAAGAAGAAGGGGAACGCGGTCGACGATACTGTGGAGGCCTTGACACCCACTGGTCCTGGAAAGGGATCCAAAGGAAAACCCACAGGAAAACCCATAAAGGCCAAGTCTGGCCCTAAGAGGCCCCCCAAGAGCCGTGTGAACAAGGCCGCAGGAAAGAAAGCTATAGGCCATGCAGTCAAACAAGCAGCTTCACTTCTCAATGCCAACGTCTTCCAGCAACAAGCTGGCGTAAATGCACCTGAACAGCCTACATTCAGATCGAGAAAAAAGGCAGATGCATTGAAAGAGCTCATCTCTAGCATACCCCTGGAGGATCAGAAGAAAGCAAGGGGCGACATGAATACCTTGCTGACCGCAACGAAAGACTTTGATGGCACGGGCAGTGTCAAGGCAGATGGCAAAGGCTTATGGAAAGTCAAAGGCATGAGCACCTCGCTCAAACCTTACCAGGTACTTGGTTCCGCCTTCATGCGTCGCCGAGAAAACGCGGCGGAAGAGCCAAGGGGCGGCTTAATGGCTGATCAAATGGGACTTGGCAAGACCCTCATGATGATAGGTATGTGTATCGAACAGACTCCATTGAACAGAACTGATTCTTACAGCGAATATGGTAAACGGTCGACCGACCAAGAACGACAAAGGCCCCAAGACGACTCTGCTTGTTGCAAGTCCTGCACTATTGACACAATGGAAGAGCGAAATCGAATTGCATACCGATGCATCGAAAGTCAGGATAAAGATCATGCGTTACGGCGCTGGTACACGCCTTGATTCGACCAATGCAAACGAGATCCTAGCAGGGCACGACATCATCCTCACTACATATACCGAGATCATGAAGTCGTACCCGAAGAACGAACCGCCCATCCAGTGCCAGACCGCCCAACAGAAGATAGATTGGTGGGAAGAAGTCTTCAGAACGCAGAGGGGTCCATTGCACCGCATGATGTTCTTGCGCGTCGTTCTTGACGAGGCTCAGGCTATCAAGAACCATATGTCGCGAACATCAATCGCCTGCCGGGCTCTTATGGCACATCATAAGTGGGCTCTCAGTGGCACTCCGATTCTGAACAGTTTGGTGGAGCTCTACCCCTACTTCAAGTTCCTTGATGTTCCGCATACTGGCAGCTTCAAGATCTTCAAGCACAACTACTGCGAGGGGAAGAGTGTGGAGAACACTGAGAGATTGCTCGTGCGGCTTTCGCAATTCATGATCCGGCGCACTCATGCGGACGAGATGTTTGGAGCTCCCATACTGAAACTCCCTCAAGCCGACCAGACGACGTATTGGTGTGAATTCAACTCTGTCGAGAGGAGAATTTACGATATCGTCCGCACGCGTTTCGCCAAGTGCATCAACATGTGGGCGCGGGAGGGTACCCTGGACAAGTCGTACAGCAACGCATTGGTGTGAGTACAAACAACTTTTGCCAGTTTGATCAATGTTGCTAATGTTCTGCAGGATGCTTCTTCGACTTCGTCAACTAACAGCTCACATTCTCATGCTCCAGTTTGTCGTCCGTGATCTGCTCGAGCGCGAAGACATCGAGGCCATCAGAGAGGTGGTCGACAAGGAGGCAGAAGATAGTAGCGAGCGCGGAGGGCATACGATCGCCGCTGTCCGTAAGCAGCTCGATAAAGTTGCGGCTGATCAGAGGAAGAGGACTGCCGCTATTGAAGTCAAGAAGGCTGCCACCAAAGCCAGAAAGACTGCCGCCAAAGCCGCCGCCAAAGCTAGACACGAGGAGTACGTATCAGACAATGACAACGACGACGACGAGCTCTTAGAAGAAGACGCCGATGAGGGCATTAACTGCGAGTCTCTAGAGGGCATTAATCCAGACTTCACCGCGGGTGGTGAGTTCGGCAAGGAGTTCAACTTTAAGCCCTTCTTAAACAGTCTTAAGACTGGAGAGAGCTGGGAAAAGACGAAACAGAAAGCTAAATGCAGCTGCTGTGGTAAACAACCACGACAGCCACAATTGACATCCTGTGGCCATCTGATATGCAGGGAACCTTGCTATGAAGAAATTCTTGTTGAGATGGCTGAGAACGACAACGTCGATGTATTTCCGCCGTGCAAAGCGTGTGGTAAGATCCCCACAGCCATTCACCCCTGCGAGGTCGACGACGATGGCATACCAGATGCACCAGCGCAAGGCACACGAGCCAACACCAAGAAGAAGCAGGATCAGATGCGCAACCGGCAGAAACGCGAAGATATTGCTGACGACTGGCTCGCTTTGGCTGGAGATGACGTTCTACCATCTGCAAAGACGATCGGTAAGTTGTGACTATACGAAACGTACATGGGAGACACACTAATTTGGTACCTCTACATGTGCAGCCGTCAAGAGTCAGATCATGAACTGGCTGAAAGAGAACCCTTACGTCAAGATCATTGTCTATACTCAGTTTCTGCCAATGTGAGTCGACTACCACATTTCCTCTTCGATAAAAATGCTAACAGACATGAGGATCCGCATCTTGGCACGCGTTTTCAGAGGAGAAAACTGGCAGACAGAGCAGGTAAGCACCGATCAGACGGCGACATGGACTTCCATGCCTTGTTTTGACGCTGAAATGATGCCTGAATACCTCCAGGCATAAATTTGGGCCCCAAATTGTTGCCGACTTTTGCTAACGTATCTACCTCACCAGTACTACGGCGGCATGAGTCTGGGCGCTCGTGATAAGGCTATTAGCTCATTCGCTGAAAATCCGGATTGCAAGATTATGCTAGCATCTCTTCGCTGCGGTGGTTGTAAGTATGGCAAATGTCTTCTGCAGCTCAGTTGCTAACTATATCACAGTGGGTCTCAACCTTACTATGGCTTCCAAGGTCATCATGATCGACCCTTGGTGGAACTCGGCCTCTGAACAGCAAGCTTTCTGCCGCGTCTTCCGTATTGGCCAGCGCGAGGAGACGTTTGTGAGCCGCCTCTGTGTCAAGAATACGGTCGATGAGCGCCTTATCGCGATGCAAGAGCGCAAGCAGAATGAGATTGCTTCGGTTATGGAGGACGATGGAAAGACGATGAAGAAGTAAGTGATTCTCCGCTCCAAATCTGTTCAAACATGGCTAATGGTGCTGCAGGATGGACACACGCTCGCTGATGCGACTATTTGGTAACCTGGAAGAGGATCCCGATGGCAAGCCGTTTATCATGGTCGATAACCCGGACCCACGCGGCGGCTTCCGGGCTGATCAAGACGATGAGGGTTATGCCGACGACTTCTAGGCTGCTAGGCGACGGGTTGGAAAGTTGCGATACGAGCCATGTCTGGGTGGAGCTGGGAGTTTGGGGCTTGATTTAGGGTGGGCTGGAGGAGTTTGGGGTTTTTTTAGGCTTGCTTCTGGTCGTGGGAATGCATTGGAGGCGTGCCAGGCTCCACCATGGGCGTTTGTTTTGAGGTAAATATCCTATCGAAGAGTGCAACCCGCCAACTTCGTCATTGCTTTATCGCGCCTGGCTGCAGTCATGGACGAACGCGTTCGTCGGCTAAGAGCAAGTCCCCAGATAAGGGCCGAATTGCACCAATAACACGGCAGGCGATAGCAAGGAAGCTCGACGACGCAAGACGGTCGCGCAGTCTCTCTTCACCAGCCCAAAGCGACAGCCGTTCTGATTCGATTGCGCCGGCTTCCCTGTCCTTGGCCAGCCATGTTGAGCGCGCGAGATAGAGGGCGGAAGCACGAGCGATTGACATGTCCAGCGGCCGCTGATTAATGTCGCGCTGCTCGAGGCCCGTCAGAGCGCGCCCCGCCATTCCCCCACATTTTGCTTCTCCGGCCAACCTCCAGGACCTGTTATGGAGAACAACAACACTGCGGAAGCGCAGCCAACTTCCGACGCGCCCGCCAAGAAGGGACGAAGGGGCAAGAGGGATGCGGGAAGCGACGACCCCAAGAAGAGGCGGTGCATCTCTTCCGCCTGTGTTCCGTGCAGGAAGCGCAAGTCCAAGGTATGTTTAGGTAACGGGAATTGGCCCTGATGCCCTTTCTCCGGTCTATACACGCATTCTCCGGATCATCGCCAGCGCCCTCGGAACCACGCGCCTGCCAGCAGTAGAGTCGCTAATCTGAGACATAGTGCGACGGAACCACTCCGGCTTGCTCAGCTTGTGCCGCCGTCTACAACACGCCATGCATCTACGACCCAAACTCGGACCACCGCCGCAAGGGCGTCTACAAGAAGGACATAGACAACCTCAAGACGCGTAACTCGACCCTCCAGACCCTCATCCAGGCCATCCTCAACTACCCAGAAGACGAAGTCGCCCACCTTGTACAGCAAATACGCACCTGCGAGAGCTTGGACTCGGTCGCCGAAGCTATCATTGCAAAGGAGAACGGCGAAGACGACGAGGATGAGCCCATCAGCCCAGTCACCACCCCCATCATGGCCCCGGCCAAGGGCACCTTCGAGAGCCAGCTGAGCGGAAAGATGGGCGAGCTGCGGCTCGAGGATGGATCGACGAGATACATTGGCGGCACATCACATCTCATATACCTGGGCAAAGGCAGCGAAGAGGCCGAGTCGCCAGACACATACTCCGAGGATCAGTACCCGGAAGCCCAGGATCCATTCTGCTCGTGGACCACCGTCACCTCGGACCCGGAGCTCGTACAGCACCTGATTAGCATGTACTTTTGCTGGCACTACAGCTTCTTCACCACCCTGTCCAAAAACCTCTTCCTACAAGAGTTTCAACTAGGCAAACCGCCGCTAGGGTCCGCAAGGAAGACACAATACTGTTCGCCGTTACTCGTCAACGCCATGCTAGCACTGGGCTGTCACTTCACATCCTGGCCTGCAGCCCGAGCTATCCGCGATGACTCTGCAACGGCGGGCGACCACTTCTTCAAAGAAGCCAAACGGCTGATCATGGAGGACGATCTGCACGAGGTGCCAGCTTTGACAACCGTGCAAGCTCTGGCGTTGATGTCTGTACGAGAAGCTGGTTGCGGGCGAGAAGCAAAGGGATGGGTCTACAGCGGCATGTCGTTCCGCATGGCATGCGACCTTGGCCTGAATCTCGGTATGCACAGCAAGGACACAATCGACGACAATGAAGAAGACGCGCGAAGGATCACCTTCTGGGGCTGCTTCCTGTTCGACAAGTGCTGGAGTAACTACATGGGACGATTACCACAACTGCCCAACACGATCCTTACAGTCCCCAAGTTCGAAGTCTTTCCTAGTGAAGATGCGGAAACGTGGAGCGCAGTCACAGACTCTGGTCTCAGTCAAGCACATTCTCAGCCCAGTCGGACTCGTGCGGTCGCGCTTCAGATCTCTAAGCTTTGTGAAATCTCCAGCGACCTAATGAACTCCTTCTATAACCCGACTGATATGGACAAGGTCAAAGGCAGGCAAGCGGAGCTGAAGAAGCTGAGCGAAATACATATGCGTCTAGAGACGTGGAAAAGAGAGTTGCCCAAAGAGTTGGAGCCCAAGGAAGGTGGTTTACCACACATGCTTGTCATGCAGTAAGTACGCCCTGCGCATTGTGCAACAGGGGTCGCACTAACATGGTTGCAGTATGTTCTTTCAATTGCTGTATATCCATCTTTTCCGACCGTTCCTCAAGTACAACCCGAACAACTCCCCATTGCCCGCAACTGTATCATCAAGGAAGCTATGTACACAAGCTGCTGCCATGATCTCAAAGTTACTTCGACTATATAAGCGATCGCATGGCTTGCGCCAGATATGCAACATCTGTGTATATATCGCACACTCGGCATGCACGATACACCTTTTGAATCTACCGGAGAAGAATGCGAAGCGCGATATCATACATGGCGTCAAGCATCTTGAGGAAATAGCTGAAGGCTGGCTCTGTGCTCGCCGGACCCTCGGCATTCTCAGCGTTCTGGCCAATCGTTGGAAAGTCGAGATGCCAGAAGAAGCTGCCACAGTACTGTCCCGGACCGATGCCAAATATGGTCCCTGGAACGAGATCAATACACCTAGAGCAAACCGCCGCGCATCCATTCAGACGAGCAACCATCATCCATCACCGGCGGACCAAGCGTCCCCAAGCCTGCAACCATATAGCATGAATATGACGAACATGGCCACACCCCAGTTCTTCAACCGAGTAACAGCAAACACCAACAGTTCCGTAAGCAATGATCCTTCTGCGCGCCCTTCCAGCACCCACTCTATACCTCCCTCCGACGCAAACGCCCTGGCTTACATGCGCAATCAGCACCAGATCAGCACACCACAAAACTCATCTTCCGCCCTCAATGCACCAACACCAGCGTCTACACAAGGCCGACGTTCCGTCGATGGCGGACAAACGACCGCTGGAAACTCTCCAAGCCAGCTCTTCGGCGGTGTGGACCAGTTACTACGAGAAGGCCAAGATTGGATCTACCGCGATCAGACACAGCTCGCGACTGACTTTGAGAACTGGAACCCACAAGGCATCGATGACATTGCGAACTGGTTTGCCAACACGACCAGCCCAGCAGGTCCGTTCCAGGCCAACACCAACGCGCCTGTCATGAGCAATGAGATGAGTGGAGGACCTGTGGGTGGAAACGCGGTGAATGGTTACACGAATGGAAACGCAAATGGAAATGGAAATGCCAATCCGACTCCAAGTTTAAACGGTTTTGGCGCAGCTGGTTTTAATGGTATGGGAATGCAGGGGTTTACTTATGACGAACAAAGCTGGTATCAATAGGGCAGAGATGGGAAAATATAGGCACCACTGTTGATAAACTACGGGTATGCAAGGCGTCTACAACGGCGTCGGAGTTTTTAGAAATGAACTAATGATACACTTTGTATGCCTCGAAATCAAAAATTAAAGAAATCCTTGACCTTGCGCCATGCTTTTCTCATCCCATGTCGATAAGGATGTCTTCGTTCCCATGCGGTTTGCTTGTTGGCCCTCTGCCGCAGCTGTCTATAGAAATGCATCATCTCCTCTTCTGGTGTCTCAAACGGCGGTGTTCTCGCGAAGAGAGGCTCAAGCTGCCTGTTTGCAATAGCCTCCTCGTCTCGCCCCGTGTCCTCGGGCGTCACCCTCCGTACAGAGATAAGCTGCGCTGTGCTCAACGACGGATCTTCGTCTTCACCGCTGTATGTGACCCGAGAGGAAATGGAGCCGTAGGATGGCTGTGGTGAGTAGGCGGGATGGCCTTCGCGTTCTCCTGGGTAACGTCGTGGACGCAAGTCTGTGGACTCGTCGAGGGGACTAAGACGGTGGGGTTGATACTCAGCGAGTGCGTCTCGGATTCTGACTGGGTTGGGGCGGGAGAAGTTGACGTGAGCAGCGTCCTGTCTAGTTGGAGTCGGAGGAAGTAGAGGGGTTATCGGACGCTCCTCATCAGAACTCGGACGTTCTCCAGCAGGACTTGGGCCCTCTACCAAAGGACTAAGCCTCGCTCTCTGGTTCTCCCTCCTATCAACGGGCACATCGTCTTCTGACACCACACTCCCCGGCTCATCCAAACTTAGCCTTGGTGGTTGTGATAGATTCCACCGCAAATTTGGCGCATTCCTTAGTGATGGTGTCCGCCTTCCTCTGGGTAGACTGAGGACTCTGTGTACTACGTTGTTTTCTTCAACAGTCTGTCGACTACGTGAAGTCGGTGATTCAGGTGCTGTGGTATATGATCCGTTTGAAAGTACTGAAGGCACGCTGCTGTTCGTGGGCGTCGACGGTGCTGCCAATGGAGAAGATGCTGAAGGAGCGGTGTCTGATACTCGAGAAGAGTCCGTTTTTCGTGGTGTGCCAATGGCTGAATCGTGGGACAGGCTTCCGTCTGCACTGAGTCGCTCCATGGCTGAGAATGTTAAAGCTTGTCACAATGAGTGTAAATGTCTTGTTTAACAAATGCGTGTGGATGTTATGTGCGAAAGACACCAATATTGGAACGATGAGAGCCCTTTTAAAAGATGGGCCTTTAGCTCTGTTGTTGTCAATCATCGCAACTACCTAAGATTGCACAGCTGTGCCTCCCTCCACATCTCGGACTGGTTCTTCTGGAAGCGCAACCATGGGCATGTTGCGATTTGGACTTCCTAAAGAATTCTGTACGCCGTCCATAGTCGCTGAGCCATGCCTTCCTCCGCCCTCTATCGACTGCTCAGACGTCAAGGCAGGTACTTCGGCGGATGTGATTCTGGCTTCTTCAACTTTCGCTCGTATACCATCAAGCGCTAATTCGTTGTTTTCGCAAGGATTGCCGCTATTCGATGGCGATGCTTGTCTATCCGAGGGAACATGGTTCGACGATGATCCATGGTTAGAGATTTCGATACTGTTGACTGGTTCCGTGTGGCAAACATGCGATTCGGTGTTCTGCTCTTTTGCAGGCGTGTTTCGCTCAGAAGGCTCTTCACTGTCTGTCTTGGGGGTGCCTCGCTTCTGCCGTGCTCGCGCTATTAGGTCGTCAAATTCGGTTTTGTGTGACTTCGCATACCCATTGCCGTCGAAATCCTTCTTCATTATTTTGCTCTCTTTAGTGCCCGCCTTCCCACCAAGTGTCTGCTCCCACTCATCCAACTCTCTCAAAAGCTGCTTCTTACTCTTCCTCACGCTCTCATCAGCGTCGCAATTCGAGTTGTAGATGTTCAGCCATTCGATGTGTCGCCTCTTCATCAAGTCTTTTGTACCCCAGGTAGGTATGCCAATTTCTTGTAACTTCTTGCGCAGCGCAGTCTCCTTCAACATAGCGTAGTTGAGCTGTGACAATCTCATAGGCGGAGGCGAGGGGTCCTTCTTCCGGATTTGGAAGGCAGGTGGAAAGGCGCTTTTAGTCCTAAAGTAAACCATGGTCAGTCGCATGATCTAGTAACGATGCGTTGTCTTTCAGTACCTTGACCGGGTACTGCGTCCCTGCGAAGCTTCAGGCCCGGTGCATACGTCCAGATGGTTGTAGACCAGCTCCGCCTTCATCGCTTTGTTGCACATTGGGCACCTAGCCATGCCGTCTGGCATGAAATCCTCATCGCCATCATCCTCGCTATCAGCGACGACCATTGGCGATTCACTCCTGTCGTTGTTGCGCTGGCTTCTCGTTCGTGTTTGTCGCGACCGTGTATGCCTGACGTTGTCCCCATCTTCCATATCCGTATCGTCTAGTTTCCTCTTCTTTTTACTAGCTGCTGCAGTCTCTCCTTCTTTGTCTGCACGCGCCAACTCCATAGCCTTTGGTCTCGCCTCCTGGAACCGCATCACCACTTCTCTGACGGCAATGTTGGGCGCCAGTTTGTCGCTGGAACATCCAGTCTTGCAGCTTGGACACTTCCCGTCCGCCGCAATGCATCTTCGTATACATATTGAACAGAAGGTATGACTGCACGACGTGATGACAGGGTTGTTGTAGAATTCCTTGCAGACTTCGCAGCGCAACGCAGCCTCGAGCGGTTCGAACGCGGGTAGGGAAGTCTTGATCCAATCGGTGGAGTCGGGGAGATCGAAGGAAGAGTCCATGGGTCTATCGCAGACAGGAATTACTTGGTATGACAGAGAGTTGACAGACGGGTCCTCTTGGGCTGGACTCCGACGCGCCGGCTTCGATCGCGTCACGTCGACCACGTGACCGCGCTTGGGTTCTGATCGCTTTGTCATCAGCGGAAGTGGGTCGCGATCGGGGAGTTGAGGAAAAGGCTAAAGTAGGTTAGTTCACTTTGCGCCGTTCAGACATTCATGAACTATACGTGGATTTTTGTACGGCTCGCAACTTGGAGGTCCAGTTTGAGCAAATGTTAGTGAGATTGGGTTGAGTGAATAAGGTTTCTGACGAACTGCCTTTGAGACATAGACTTACTTCGTACAAGCACCTCTTGAAGTAAGAGCATTTGTGCATACTCTCAGATACAAGGACAAAGATCGATGATGCATCAGCCTTACTTCCACTCTCGCTCTGCGCAGTCTAAATAGGGTGTACTAGTTACTAGTCTTTGTTGGTATGTGAACTGCTGCGCCCTAGCTAATGCATGCCATCTCTCGATTCGTCCCCCATACACAGCGGGAGCGATACATAAACGCCCAGCTATGCCAATTCCTCTTATGCTAGATTTCGTTTCTTCGTTACTGCAGGGCACAGCCACCCTATCCGATGGCAGAAACAAGCTCTTGTCATTCCAGGGCTAGATCGTTACCTTGTCATTGTGCCTTCCAACACACCTGTTCAGACCTTGAAAACGGTACTCTTGCTCTTGATCCCATCGAATACACATGTGTTGTCGACAGGAACATACTGTTCTGTAATGACCTTGATGATCTCCTGTGAAACGATTCCACCAGTCAAGGCACCGATGTTGTGTAATTCGGCGCCGCCTGCTCGCACACTGTGGTTCTGTTAGCCTACTGTTCCTTCGTATCATGCAGTAGGGGTGTCAAGTATAGCGTTGATAACTTACAGCTCCTGTGCATATTCTCCAACCTGCGACTTGATCGTGTCGAACTCTTCTTCCTCAATAGACGCATTTGCTTCTTTGATGAGATCGTTCGCAATCTTCAAGGCTATCCCTGTGAGCTTCTCTGAGTCTGTTTCGGGGTCGGTCTCGCCAGCAACGCGAGGTGCTCCTCCTGAGCCATCTTGATCGTGTGTCGCAACAAACTCATCCCAAGCTAGGAAAGCAATGTAAAGCGGGATCTGTGAGTCAGGGAATGTGAGCGTTTGGGCTATACAATGTTAGTTGGAACAATGCATGTTTGTCGACTTCATTACCGATTGACTTGGCACGATCACCCCACTTGATCTTTTCGCCTGCTTGTACGACGTGAAATGGCCGCCCGCGCACTAGTTTTATGTGTGCTGCGTTCTTACAGAATGTCTCAATGTCCTTCTCATCGATTTGCGTGCTCCGGTTAGCATTACGCTCCAGGAAGCGGACACTATCTACCACCTCTGCCAGATCCTTTCGTGCTTTTGCCTTGTACACATTCTGCAGCTGAATGTAGTCTGCTGAGCGCGCCTTCATATCGGGTACAGAACCAGGAACTGGGAGGACGTTGTATTTGGTATAGAATAGACCGATAGCGTTGGCAATGACCCAGAAACTTGGGGAGTCGTCGCGGATCAGAAGACACTCTGGCGCCGTGAAAATCTCTTTGACAGAACTGCTCGCTTGCGGTGGGTTCAGCGACTTGAGAACGGCCGCCACTGCTTCGTCAAAGTTCTCTTCGCCACCTTCTGGGTTGTTGGTGTGTGCGGCTTGCGCTACCGACGTTCTGAACTCGGTCTTCTCCTTGTATGTCTGGGGTACTTCGCCGCCGTGGTCTTTCTTCCAACGCTCAAGGAAATGCAGCAGTAGTGCTATCCATGGGACATGTCCGTGATCTTCTGGCTTCATGTTCTCCAAGTCGGCCGTCTTCTCTTCGGCGTACTGTACAAGCTCTGGCCATGGTCTCAATAGCCGGAGATCTGATGTGGTCTCGGGACTGGGATGTGTGTCTACGATGGGGAAGGCAGGAGGCAGGTGTACGGAGAAGTGGGCGTAGAAGCCGACCGAGTGGACGTAGAACAGCGGGAGAAGCGCGGCGCTTGCGTGGTCGGAGAGCTTAGCGAGGATCTCAGGACGGATAGGTGCAGTCGCGAGGACGAGGGTATACGGCCGTAGAGCGTCAGGTTTGGCAAGCCATGACTCTATGGGCTGCTTGGATCAGCGGGTGAGCGGCGGAGAGCATGCTTTGAGGTACCTCTGTGATGAAATGACCATCCACATCTGGGTTGAGTTCCTTAAGAAGATTGCACGTGTGTTCTGCGCGGTACCCTCCCAGGTGCTGGTCTTCTAGGAAGAAGTTGACGCCTAGATCCGCTTCGCTCACAACGGCGGAGTCCTGGATGGTGAAATTGCCGATGCAGGGAAGGACGAGGTTCTTGAGCGTCTCTACGCCAACAACGCCTGGGCCGGAGTTGATGAGCAGGATATGTGACTTCTCGAGTGCGATTTGGCCGGTAGCTCCCCAGAGGCGCAGTTGACGGTCATATCTGGTCTGGTTAGTCGGCAATCGCGCAGGAAGGAAGTGGATGGGACGTCAAGAGACTTACTTCTTTTCCTTGGCAGTCGGGCCCTGGACTGGAGGCGGAAGATGGTCCATTGTCGCGACCAGAGTGTGTTGAAAGTGGGAGGACGGTCGGTGTTTGTCCAAGACCAGTGAGAGCTCAAGCTGCCAGGCACCAAACGCGCTGCCAGCCCGCGCGCTAGCGTTGCATCCCTGTCGCGGGGTATCGGTGCTGGTGGGGCTCACATCGTCATTTTGGCCGATGCTCAATCATCTCGTCACGAGCAAATTGTTCCACCCGTGCCGTCTCGTCGCGATTCTCCGTAAGCATTAGATTATCCTGAGCACTGCAAAATAAGCTGCAATCCGGTTAATGCCGTTGAAGTTGAACCACGTCTGGGTGGCCAATATAAATCAGCAAGCGCGCGGCATCAGTCATCTCACGTCTCGACTGCCCCTCCGACCTCTGCCAAATTCTCGATTACACATACAGCCGTCTAAACCTCGTCTCCTTAGACACGCAACAAACATGACTGACACAACTGTCGAGGCCGCAAAGCGCGCTGCTGCTCACCAAGCAGTAGCGGATCACTTCGACCCTGCAGCCACCCACGTTGGAATTGGCTCTGGAACTACCATTGTATACGTCGTCGAAGCTATCAAGGAGCGCTCCACCAACCCAAACATCCTCTTCGTGCCCACGGGCTACCAATCGCGCCAACTCGTAGTCAACGCCGGCCTAACCGCCATCTCCTTCGACAGTCTCCCCGATCGCGTAATGCTCGATGTCGCTTTCGACGGCGCCGATGAGGTCGATTCGGAACTCAACTGCATAAAGGGAGGAGGTGCATGCCTGTTTCAGGAAAAGCTTGTCGCCGAGCGGGCCAAAAAGTTCGTGTGTGTCGCAGACTACAGGAAGAGACAAGATCGCCTTTTGACCAACTGGCCAACGATACCGATAGAGGTTGCGCCAATGTCTCAGCTCAAGGTCGCTGCTGCGCTTAGGATGCTTGGTTCAACGGGCCCCAAGCTAAGGACTACGCTACTCGAGAAGTCGGGACCCCTGAAAACGGACCAGGACTTTTACATTATCGATGCGCCCTTCCCCGCCCTGCTCACTTCTGCCGACGTTGCAGCTGGAAAGGGCAAGGGTGATGGAACAGACGGTACGTGGGAGGTCAACACGATTAGCAAGGCCATCAAGGGCCTGACTGGTGTATTGGAGGTTGGCATCTTTTCTGGTTTAAACGGCATCGATGCGCAGCGACTTCGCGAGCAGGATCAATTGACCAAGACCGTACGGGGTGGCCAGAAGCCTGTCGCCGTCTACTTTGGCATGGAGGACGGAAGCGTCAAGATGCGGACAATCGAGGGAGAGAAATAGATTTCAAGTGTGCAACAAGTAAACATGTATCATTCATAGCTGGAAAGCGAACCTCATCCCAAAACAGAGCTCGTGAGCTCGCGATCGCCGTCGCAGAAAGTAACCTTTTCTTCTTTTTTCCTTCCACCGTGCCCAAGTCACCATCTACCATGCAGTAGCAGTCACGTAGACCGTCGTGGTAACAACCTCAACATCCGTTACAGTAACGCACTTCCATCCCTGGGGGCATGACACTTCAGTTGGGGCAGGACCATTCGCGGACGATGGTCCGACGGTGATGGTAGAGACAGGGACCTTGGAAAGGGTGCTGGGCTTTGTGGGCGCCGGAGGAGCAGCCGAAGCCTCGACGATAGGAGGGCTCTCGTACTGGTCGTCGACTGTAGGCTTGGGCGCAGCAGATACAACCTTGTCAGCCACAGGCATAGGAGTAGCCTTTGCGGGTGTCTCCTTCTTCGCAGAGCTCGTCTTGGGCGCAGCATCCACGATACCACCGCCTGCAGTCGCCATGATCTTGCCAACATCGATGCTCTTCTTGACAGGAGTCAGAACCTTGCCCTTGTTAGGAGGGCCGTTGAAGTTCATAGCTGTGCATTGAGCGTTGATGTCCTTGCACTTGTCCTGCCAGATCTTGCAGCCTGCATTGCCAGTTGCAGGGCTGGTGTTGAAGCACACATCACTCTGGTCCCAGCACTCTTGGGCTGAGGCCCAGCAGCCCTTTTCTGTGTTGTACGACGAAACTTCTTTGCCGCACCAGTTTGCGTTCTCCATAATGCAGCCCTCAGGCTTCAACCCATCGGCTTGAGTGGTCGACGCTTTTTGCGTACCGCCAGCTGTGAGCTTGGCGACCTTGGGGCCAGGGACAACGTACTTGCTGCCGGGAGTGTTGTAGATGTCGAAGTCGGTAGACGGCTGACCATACTTTACGTAGCCAGGGATGGAGACAGTGCTCTCCGGGACAAGGTTTCCGCTGCTCTCGAGGAAGATCTGTGCGCACCCAGTGTAAAACTGAGGATCATTGTCATTTGCGGCGTGGAGAGCAAGGATCTCGGGGCGGGCAAGGTAGTCACCTCCCTCAAGGCCCTTGGGGAGGTTCACATTCAATAGACCATTGTTGTCAATGATCTCGTCGGTGCACCAGCGGTCAGTAGACGCGTCGTAACCATGGTCGAAGATCTTGAACCAGCCATCACCAGCAGCCTTGTCGGTGCTAGCATCTGCGACCTTCTTCAAGTAAACGGCACAGGGACCCTTGTGGCCGCGGTCAAGACGCTCCTTGGTAGGGTCATTGGGCCATGAACGGATCTCAAACGTAAGGAGGGCGCCATCCTTGACAGGCTGGACGCGGGAGACTCCCTTGGTACCACCGACATCTAAGAGTGATCATTAGCATCGCGTCTAAAACAGTCGTGTAAAGCAAACGTACTGCAGGCCATGTCGTCGCTATCGAGGCTGGCAATGGGACTGCTGGCTTTCGCAGCATTGGGGTTCATGCGGATGGCAACACCATCACCCTGGTTCCTCTTAGCATATACCATGTATGGAATGACTGGCAAAACAAACCTGAGGCACGCCGTCGACGAAGAAATCGGTGAAAACAGTGTGGGCAAGGGCAGCAGGGGCCGAGGCCAGAGCGGCGAGAAGCATAGATTGAGTCTTCATTGTGGCTGGTGTTCGATTGCGGTTGGCAGTAAAAGAGTTGCGGTTGTATCTTTTGGTAGGATATCTGTGATAGTATGACACACGAACGAGGACGGTTGGTCACTAGGACTCAATGTGCAGAAGAATGAATGAATAGGCCGGCTAGCGACACTGAATGAATGGAATGAGCAGCAAAGCGCCCTGGAAGGAGGGACGGAAAGTTGGGTTTTGAAGAGAATATCCTTGTGTGGTCAAAGGTGAAGAAGAAAGGTCAGTTCGAGCGCGGCGGCTCGTAGCTTTTGATTCAGACGAGCTCCGCCTAGACCAGTGGTGCACATCCCCCGTATCATCATCACACCTGACTCCTGCAGACATCGATATCCCTGGGTTGTGCATCCGCTTTGCCGCCGCTACGGATTTCCTTCCTTGCAACAGATCGCAGGGCGTTCGAGCCCGCTGTTCTGTTTCCTAGCAGTAACGCTGGGTTCCGAAGACGCAGTCAGCCTCAGGCACTATCGGCCAATCAACGCACAGGTGAGGTTGTACCGCTGAAACATGAAACACAACCAGACTATTTTAGCGAGCATCTAGTCGGAATTTTGGCAAGCTTACCCGCTAGAAGGCGCTCTCTCAGACGACACTAACTCAGGTACCGCGCCTTCATTAAACAATTTTTGCGCCGTCGCGGGTCGATCTCGTCATCGGCCATGTGCAGATGAAGACGCAGTAGAACGTTAGAAGCGGGGTTATCGATACAGACTACCGTTACCAGGAGCGAGCCCGACCACTCCTTTCCTAAGCGCTACGCATCGTCGAACATGGTGAGTTCTGTGAACTTTGGTTCAGGAGGCAGCTTGTGACGTTGGCGGATTAGGCTGACAGTCATTTCGCGAACCATCCACATTGCAAATCTCGGCCTGGTGCCAAGAGTACCCGCCGCTTCTCCTGGGGTTACATAGGATGCCAAATTGCGGCGAGGTTCTACCCGTAGAGCGTTGGCACGGCAAAACACAATTTGGTTGTTAGATGCAAACTATGAAAACAGACGTTTCATGTTCTCGTCAGGCATGAGGGCGTGCAGTCGTGAAGATATGTGTCTTTTCTTCTCGGAATTGTGCGCATATGGGTTCCTGCAGCTAGCTGCCCGTGAAATTATGGGTTGTGCCACTGAGCTGCCCCAATAGCTGCCATCACTTCCCAAGTCTCGCAGGACTACCCTGGGGCTGGGAACCAACCTTGTTGTTGGTTCCCAGAAAGGAAAACAAAACAACACATTAGAGCTGTCCGGGTAGCCCTGGCACATCACGACCTCGAACGTTGGCAGGCCCCAACCTCTCCTTTTAAAAACGCATTGGCCATACCCGACTGCCAAGGTGAAAAGATGTAGTGGAGGAAGCTCTCGCGGAAAACACCGGGCTGGTGCTTATGCTGCAGTATCAAGCAGCAGAGTTATGAGCGTGTTGTTGACGGCTACAATCCCCAAATTGTCCGATATCCGGTACTGGAAAGAAGACAACCACCGCAACTCAACCGTACGATGGCCTTTTGAGAAGCGGCGACACATGGGGAACCTGTGCATACACATCCATACTCTCGTGCTGAACGTCTTGCGTTGACCCTGGAGGGGCCGCCTTTGCCTCCGCTCTCTCCATAATACCCTTGATGATGTTCCTGAAGTCGGTCGTGTCTCGGAAGCTCTGTGCCAAGTCTTGTGTTACCGCGTTGAACCTTCGTGTAGCCCACTTTACATCCGAGACCTTGATCCCATAAACATGACGGAATGGAAGCTTGCTGAAGCAGATTTCAACACCTTCAGAGAATACCACACCTTGACGCTGCTGATTGAGGCAGCATACAATTGAAGGCTCATATCCGTGTTCAGCGTGCTCGATCCCAATCTCGCGGAGGCCTTGTTTCACAGCTTCTATCAACCATCGATTGCCTCTTTTGGTCAGAAAGTGTAGTTTTTTGGAGTCTCCTAGTGTGTTGGTTGGTAGTTCACGCTCAGACAAGGGCCTGCCAATGTAATTTGCCAGTCGTACAGTGTTCATATAGCGGTCCAATTGAACAGCGTCTGTAGGACAGAAAAGAGGATCCCAGGGCAGTGGCCATGTGCTCAGTGAAACCAGAGGTCCCAAGAGAAACCTTTCTGAAATCGTGAGAGCGTACTTTGGCCGAGGCCCTATAGTAAATGACGGACGCCTACTTGGATGCGGTGACATTGCACCATATCTACCAGATCCCGCCGTCTCGTAAATATTGTTCTTGACTGACATCATCAGATTGCTCTTTTCAACAACGTTTGTAGATGCGAAGATATTGGTTGGGTCCATATTGAGCTTGAGAGAATCCTCAATCCTCTTAAACACCCATAGCCAGTGGTCGACAAGTCTTATTTCGGCAGCCACCCGTTGAGTACGGTCGGGTGCTACACCGAAGCGGCCAAGAGACCCTTCATAAGCCACACTGTACGCGAGAGCGGCGTTCGTATGCTCCTGGGTGTGCAGACATACGTCGCCTAGCCACCGCGCGGCAGCTATATCACCATCGTCCAGATTCTGGCGATTGAGGTAAATTCCATTAAACACACTTTCGAACAAGCGTTTTGCTTTGGTGAACTTCCCGGTATAAGAAGCGCAGACTCCAAGTAAATGCCTGAGAATGCGTCGATCAGGCTGAACTCCAGACACGCATGTATGTCCACGTTCGACTGCCGTAAGTTGGTCTTCGAGGAGCCTCTCTGCCGTGATGAAGTCATTCTGAGCCCATGCAGCCACTATCCGGTGTGCCGTCCATTCAAGATCTATTGTGATCGTTGTGTCTTTCTCATAATACGATGGAGGTGCAACGGATGGTTCTGTTATATTCGTAACCGAAGGCAGAGGTGGAGGGGGACTGGTCGGATGCACAGGCGCTATTATGGGGGGATTGTACGCCGGTACAACAGGAATCGGGGCGCTTAGAGATGGGACTGGGATGCGTTTCATCACGGAATCTGCGGGAGTAGCAGGCAAAGACGATGGTCGTGGCTCTGCATACAGCGATGAGGCTTCCGATCCAGAGCGCCGCGAGGGTGTTTGCAAGGAGGTGCTAGAATACGCCAGGGGGGTGGCTGAAGGAGCCAGGTATACGGACTCTTTTTGTGTTATCAGTGGACTTGATACAGGAGTGTGCTCTATAGATGCAGCTGGTGAGCCTCGGTCCGAAGGTGTGATCATCGTTGGTACGTCGAAACTATGCAATCGTTGTTCAAATCCGAATTCAGGAAGAGCTGTCCCAAGATCTTGCTGCATAGTTTCAAAGGAGTCGTCACCTGGCCGCTCTTCCAAGAGCCTCCCTTCGTTGACAGCCTTGACAAGCCAGTCTACAATGAGATCTCGGTAGCTCACAGCCTGCTGTTGAGAGACTCCCACATCTTCAAGATCGCGGAGAATCTGACTCCACGATTCCTCGTCATCCTTGTCATTATCCAGGATACCCGCAGACGTGAGCCTCCCGATGGAAGCAATGCTTTCTTCGCGGTAACCGCCTTTGTAGTCCTTCTCCAACCTCTCCAGGGCTTCCAATATAAGAACCTGGCTGTCGTGTATCAAGGTCGTATAAAAGCTGTTAAGCATCGACACGCTCGCGATGAGACGCTCTCGTAGGTTTCGTGTGATTTCTGGATCGTACTTGAGGCGGTCCCATGCGCGCTTGCTCTTCGTGTCGAGCCCGTTGTAACGCAAGACAAGCTTATCTAGCTCTTCGAGTACTTCGATACATGGCTCGTATGCATTGATAAGCTGCTGTTGCTTGTTCTCGGGTATCTTGTCATACTTGTCTTGTATGTCCTCGAGTAGGTTCGATAGCGCTCGGGCTTGCGACGTAAGAGCTTTGTATTCGCCCGAGCAGTCGCGACCTGTCTTGAGTTTAGCTTGCTGGGAGCTACGGTGTGGGGCAACACGGACAGTTCTTGTAGACTCTACCAGCTATCTCGCATAGCTTGAGAATATCTCCAATACTGATACCGAAACTCATCCTCTTGGCCAGTGGAGTGATTGGGCTCCCAAACCGTTACGGCGCATCCCAAAGTCAGTAGCCATTCCACGTATCGCATGACGGATATGTACGGCTGGAAGCTTGGTCATGTGTTCGGAAGGGATTACTGAATTGGAAGTTGGGGGCGGGAAGGAGCTCAATTCGCCCAGAACATTGTGATAGCCCCTGCAGATAGATAAGTCGCGGAAACAACACAATGTGCACGGCTTTATTTCTTCCTTGTTTGTGTTGCTCCGTTCAGCCACTTGTATATAGTTGTGATATTGCATTGCATGCCTCAGATGCTAAATGATGGGTCCGGGGGATGCTGACGTCACATGACCTTGCGACTCGCGATGGACCTCGGACGGCGTGCTAGAGCGAATGAGGCTTAGTTCAAACGTTCCCCAACATTGTCAGGTATTGCTCCGCGGGAACATGAATGGCAGTACGACCGAACAGCAGCTATCGTGCTCACTTTGCGTTCTTTAATCGGACAGCATATAAGGCAGCTGTCGAAACCGACGTAGTAAATGAGACAGATGGAGGTTCCAAAGTCTACAAAGACTACATGTCTGTATCGAACCTCTCAACATGAAATAGGTGCATAATTGAGAACACAAGCAGTCTCGGGAAGGTGTGCAATGAAAGATGGATATATAGCTATCTGCAAGGTGTTCAACCCAGATTGAACTCGCTCGCCATACCCGCATGACGCATAAACTTCTCCCTCGCACGAACCGCCTTCCTCATCTTCGCCGCCTCATCTGTGTCTTGACCCTCGGGGAGATCCAAGTCCACAACCGCCCTCTTCGACGCACCAGTATCAGCTTTGCGACTGGCAAGGTCCACCTTCGGACCACCACGTACCCTAGCAGGGGTCTTGTCATTACGTCCGGCACCTGTTCGTTGTCCTGGAATCTTCATTCCAGAGGGCCGCTCGCGGAGTGCGAAGGCCTTGGCCAGATGGCCTAGGTGGAGCGACTTGATGTCGAAATATTGACGTTCGTCAGCAACGTGAGTTGCGTACGCACGAATGTGGCTCTGGAAAGCTCTTCGGGCGGCTTCGAGGCGAGCAGGTGAGGCTAGGGCCCAGCGCTCGACGGCGAGCTGTAGGTCGGTAGCTTTATCCATGTAGGCGTTCTTCTCCATTACTCCGCTGGTTACCAAGCCTCGGTTGAGGATATCGTCGGCGTCTTGACGTGAAATGTGAACTCCACCTTCGGTGTCTTTCCTGTCCGACTTGAGAATATCGACGTAGCCTTCTTCAGTTCCGGGCATCAAGAAGATACAAGCTCGTCCGTCGCGACCCGCACGCGCCGTACGACCGATACGATGCAAATGGTCCTCTCTGGCGAAAGCAGGATCAAATTCAATAACCAAGTCGACGTTCGGCAGGTCGAGACCGCGAGATGCGACGTCGGTAGCAATCAAGACAGACGGCTCCTTGTTCTTCGTGAACTGAGCGAGTGTCGATGTTCGCACGGATTGTTGAAGTGAACCGTGGAGACGGTATGCTGTTACTGTATGCGTCTTTGCAGAGAGTACAGGTGACTCTGCACCTGTTACTGTGAGCTTGGTTGGGTCTGATTGTGCTATCGCTTTGGTGTTCTTTGGCTTCTTCTCCACGCCGTCAACTGCCTCCTCAGCCTTCTCCTCCTCTTCGTCCGTGCTTTCCTTCTTCTTCGTCTCGGTGACGCCTTCAATTTCACTGGTGAGCATGTCAAAGTGGAAGTCGACAGAGTCAGCACACGAGATGAAGACGATGGCCTTCATGACGGATCCCTTTCGTGCAAAAGCCCGCTTCAAGTAGGCTATCAAAGATACCAATCGGAGCTTCGGTGCCACCACTGCGTAGGACTGCTTCAGTTGCGCCGGTGCAAAGAAAGATTGATCGTCTTTGGCCTCGACCGTTTCCTGTCCCTTTTCTGACGGATCGGCTCGAATGTGTACTGCGTCTTTCAAACTTATCTGTCCAAGCCTCTCCACGTCCATTTTCATAGTCGCGGAACAGAGCACTGTTGTACGCTTCTCCGGCAGCCCAGGTATCCTCGAATTCTCATCTTTTCTTGCGCGCATTCGCAAATTCAATGCCCCGACAATCTTCTGAATTTCCTGCTCAAAACCAAGCTCCATCAGGCGATCGCCTTCATCCAGGACAAGCCATCTGACATTGCTCACGTCCAACGCTTCTGTGTGCTCCAGGTGATCGACCAACCGACCGGGTGTCGCGACCAAGATATTGATGCCCTTGCGTAACCGTGCCTTTTCAGACTTTTTCTTCTCACCACCAATGACGGTGGTGGCTACAAGCCAATGCGCACAACCTAAGATCTTCTCTAGTACAGTCGCAATTTGCTTGCTCAGCTCGCGTGTCGGTGCCATGATGATGGCAAAGAGACCGGAATTCCTCTGTACGTTGTCGTCGACTTTCTGCTTTCTCATGTTGGCGGAAAGTTCCATGAGTCTTTGCACAATCGGTAGGAGGTATGCCAGTGTTTTTCCAGAACCAGTCTCGGCCTGTATGAAAGCATCTGAATCGTCTTTGACGAGCTGTGTTATCGCAGCCTTTTGGATCGCAGTGGGCGCCTTCAACCCCATCTTGTTCAACAGGTGCGTCGCAAGCGTCGTGGACATGCCGAGGGATGTAAAGGTGTCCAGCTCGCTGCTGAGTGGGGCGTTTGAAGGTTCGATAGGCGCATCGTCTTCGCGGCGTTCGTTCGCTTCTGGCTTCGTCTTGGATGTCGGATTGTAGGTAAACAGCGAGGAAATGACCTGCTTTCCACCCTTGGGCGCACTCTGCTGTTCACTTGGTCTCTTGGCGGGGTTTGGGTTCGGGTTCGGATTCGATTGCGGTCTGAAATCGGCATTGTCTGTCTTCTCGGTTGTCCTTGGCCTAAAGTCTCCGCTCACACGCGCTCGCTTTACGGGCCTGTCGCCGGAATCGTGAAATTCGGGGCTCTTGGACACGCGTGCCTTCCTTGGGCCCAGTTCTATGCGGTTCACGTTTGTCGCATTCTCGACCGTCTTCTTGGGTACTGCCTCGCCGTTCAGTCGCGCTGTAGCCTTGGTGTGCCAGTTCTGTGCCGCCTTCTTCGCAGTGAGCCGGCTCTTCCAGTTGCCGCCTTTGAAGGTCGGTTTCGCGATAATGCCGCTGTCTGGTATGGAGAAGTTGAGGAGCATGCCATCGTCGGCCATCTTGTGCTATGTCGTCGCGTATGGGCGTGAATAAGGCGGGGTGTTGTTGCGTAAGAGAGGGAAATCTCGAACCTGGGATCTTTTTAGTGGGGCACTAGGCTCAGATGGGCGTTCCCTCCCATGATGGGACCTTCAGCGCAGAAACGAGTCGTCTTGACCTTTCTCAACTTGATCACCATGGCTGCCTTTTCGCTGACTCTTTGCGCTCTGTCCCCTCACAAGCTGCGAGGGACAAATCGTCGCATCTTCCCCGTTTTTGCGCGACTCCACAACTAAGGCAGAGCTCAGTCCGCGACACCTCCGCAACTCTCCGCAATGGCATCACTCCGTTACGCAGCCGGTGAGTGCGCTCCTCGACGCACGCCATTGAACCAAACAACTAACACTACGCAGTACCGATAGCGCGACGATGCGTGTCAAGGGGCTTTTCGCGTGCATTGCGAGTTCCTGCGAGCCACGGCATTCGGTGTCTGTCCACGAGCCCATCACTGCGTAATGCCTCGCCCTCCGCAGCCCAAACGCACATCTTCCGCGATGTCGCGCCTTTACGAGACTACCGCCGACATCTCCGCTCCGACAATCGTACAGTTGGCCTTGTCCCAACCATGGGTGCCCTGCACGAGGGCCATGTCTCGCTCATGCGTCACGCAGCCGCTGAGAATACCGATGTCTTCGTTACCATCTACGTGAATCCTACACAATTCGGACTGAATGAGGATCTCGCGTCCTACCCGAAGACCTGGGAGGCGGACATGCAAGTGTTGGAAGACTTGAACCAGGAACTGGCGACTGCAAACCAGGGACGCGTGACAGCTGTCTTCGCACCAACCACAAAGACCATGTACCCTACACTGCCACCCGACAGCAGCATACCAGGTGTAGGGAGCTTCATTGAGATGCGTCCACTTGGCCAGCTATTAGAGGGCGCGTCAAGACCTGTTTTCTTCCGCGGCGTAGCAACTGTATGCATGAAGCTCTTCAACATCTGCGCCCCAGATCGCGTCTACTTTGGGCAGAAAGATGTCCAGCAAACCCGCGTTATCAAGCGACTGATTCAAGACTTTCACTTGGACACGAGCCTGCGCATCATCCCGACGTCCAGGGAATCAGACGGACTTGCACTATCTTCACGCAATGTCTATCTCGGCGCACGACGTCGCAGTGTTGGCATCGTTCTCAACCAAGCGCTTCGCAAAGCAGAGCTACAGTACAAGAATGGTATGAGGCTGCGGAACGACGTCCTCTGGCCTGCATTCGACCACGGCAATATGACACTGCTTGAGCAAGAGCACATGGAACCTAGCAAACGCGCCAAGTTTGAGGTTGACTATATTAGTCTTGCAGACCCTGACACCATGGAGGAGATTGATCAGATTGACGATTCGAGAGGCGCCATTCTCAGTGGTGCGGTAAAAATGCTCCCGGTCGAAGATCCGCAAGACGGTGAGGATTTAGGTCAGTTGGATGCTGAAGGTCGCCAGGTACCTGTGCGCTTGATCGACAATCTGATTCTAAATCCAATGAGATAGACTAGTCTCATCAATATGCCTGGTTATGAATAAAATCTAGATATCAAACTTGGAGTACGAGAATCCGCCGTGGTTGTGGAGGCAGGACACTGTGTACAATTCAATCGGATGTTATAACACCACTGAACTGTTCCTGTCCCGTCCTATCATGACGTGTTGACATACGTCTCTTGCATCTAGATTCCGTGGAGACTCTTTGATCGCCATCATTGTTGCTTTGCTCGATTACATGAATACGAATGTCATGGCCACCTAGGCTGCGACCCTTTGTTACATGATGCCCCTTGGTAGAGACGATCTCATGCACTCGCAACTAGCATTCCCCCATATCTTAAGCCGCAGTTGCTTGATGCTTGGCTTCTTCTGCTCTAGTCTTATGCACCATAAACATTTTATTTGTGCTTAGTAAGTTCCCTTCCCTTGCCTTTGTGTTTAATTTTGGGGTCTTTTTTTGTTGGAAATTGCGACTGAGACGAGGAAGGGCCTCATTAGCGGTTCGGAGATGAAATGTATATAAGATATAACAATGTCGGTGGCTCTGAAGCGACAAGGCCTCCCAATATAGGTCAGTTAGTGAAAATAAACTACAGATCACTTTAGCTGCTACAGAAGGTCGGCATGCCGAGCCCGCCAACTCTCACCTGTTCTTCGACACGTCTGTTTAAGCTTTCGGTCGTTCCCCTACTTACAATGCTCACTTTACCAAGAACCGCTTCATCTCCGTGAGTGCAGTCATTCTGCAAGCCATTGTAATCCTTCATCTTCGCCTCTACCCGTCCGCGCATCTGCCACCAACATAATCTCATCGTACATATCTTACGCATAGCGTCATCAAAGGTGGTGTAGATCTCGACGGCCCGCAAACCCACAAGCAAGCCTGCTTCCTGCACCACCAACATCTCTTTAAGCGCCGGCAATGCTCATTAAGGATCGTCCCTGCATAATTCCATCCTTCTTCTAGAAGGTAGTTCGAAGAGATAATGCTAATTTTGGTGACGGGTGGCTTGACGTGGTCGTCGTATAGATAGCCGATTGGTGGATAAAAGACGTTGTGGCGTTCTCAAAGACCGGTGGGAGATTTGAGAACAATAGACGCAAATCCTGAAAGGGTCGATATAAGTGCAAGAGAAGTTCTGGCAATTTCTAGTTTTGCGGAAATATGCCCTTAACATTGGGACGTGCGACCTGCGGAGATGAGAGTGTGTCTGGGGGGCTGAATAGATCCGTCGAGAACAGCAGGTGGAATGTGAGGATGACGGAAACTTGAAGAGGTGTCGTGCAGAGAACCAGGAAGACTTTGGTAGGAAAGGGAGAGAAAGACACGCTTAAGAAGACAAAAAATACAAGACGATCTCGACGAGGATGGTATACTCGATCGATGGGCCACGATGCTCCTCCGACATGGCTCGCATTCCAAGTACCGGCGCCAGTGTGAACTCATCCTACTGCACAGAAGCAAGAAGGCAATCGACAGGAGTATGAGAACAAAGTGACGTTTGCAGCAGGTTGACCGGTCCTACTCCATTGTTGTCAGGCACGTACGCCCTTCTCTTTGGACACACAAGCCTCCATAGACATGTCGGAGGCAGAGCCATCAGTCAACCACACGAAACAGGCATTAGGACTGATGAATGTACGAAAGATTGGAAGAGCGATGTTGAAGAGAAGATGAAGAAAGCGCACGTGGTAGTGGCCGCCGTTAGGTCAGTGGTACGACAACGTCATCTGGAAAACCGAGCGGCCCAAGCTCCATCGTCGCGCTGATGTCGCGTCTTCAATACACTCATCTCAGGACACTGCAAACTCGATGCACCAATCTTCGTCAAACACGCCATAACCCTCTCTCTCTCTCTCAACACATCGGCATATCACCAGACGCAGTCTGAATCACCCCAATGCTTACTATTCGGTCCGAGACATATTGAACGCCCTCACCTAGATCACCTTCAAATTATTCTGTATACTTACAATTACGTGGCGCTTTCAGGAACCTGATGGCTACTAGTGAGTTCGCTGTTCTGACAGTACTACTATAGCTGCAGCATCACGTATACCTCTATAGTTCATCGTTTAAGACCTCCACAAGACACGTTACGTTATTGATCACACTGATTCAAGTCTAGTGTATCTACACCCCACCGCTACAGGGTGCAAATATTCTTGAGAATGTGCTGCAGTCTGACCAGATATAGCCAAACGCACGATCAAACCTAGAAGTCTCTCGCAGCTGTGCGACCGATGTTTAGATATTAACATATAAACTTCGCATATAACGACCCGCTCTGAGCCAGGACTCAGTTCCGTACGACCACGTTTCCCCACGCTGCGCTTCGTTGCCGCAATCAGCCTCCTCCCGGAAGATCACGGCTAAGTTCTGAAGCTTACCTCTTTTGAGCTTCAAACAACGATGAAGTAAGAACTCTGCGTTCAGAGCAAACTCCGTCAACTTCCAACTACTTCGAGGTGCTTTCCTATGCAGTACCTGTGAAAAGTGGACTTTCGTCCCATACTGAACATCACTCTGCTGTGTGGGGCACGGGCTTCGCGGATCTGTCGAAGCTGTTCGGCTTCGTAAATCATCTAACCTACGACATTGCACCTTGGCAAACCTGGGGAATATTGCCGGTAACCCTGCGTTTGTCGCATACCCCACATCTTAAGCACAAGGCCAAGAGCGCAAATGGCATGCTTAACAGTCCTACACCATGACAATACCAGGATCCAAGAAAAACACGGTTTCGGAAGGCTTCTCGAAGGCTTTAATTACTCGAGGACGCCAGGGCCGATGGTCCACGAACCTGTTCATATATCGTAGTCTGATCAAGGGTGCCCGGTAGGACCCTACATGTAGCTATAGGTAACTATAGGTATCTGTAGGTTACCATCGGTATGTGGAGTTCCACTCCCGTCAAAAGCATAACTACAGGCATACGCGTTCGCAGCTGACTCGCTCTCGCATTCGTAATATCGATCGTCTGTTATAATACCGCCCCACGAATTATGTGTGCGCCATTCATCAAAGCGCTGTTCTGAAAGTCTTGGGCACAACTTAGGGCCTGACTCTTGTGTGTCCGACGCAATCGTGTTAGCACAATTGCTTTAGATCATGCCGCCCGCTGCTCGTCAAAGGGACGAGATCCCGGTATCGTTGGTGCCACATCCCGTATCTAGAATACAATCTTGGGATGCCACTGCTGACCTTTCCATCATCACTGACATCTATCCGAAGCTTTTCGGCATGACAACCAGGGAACTGAATGTTGTTAAAAGCGACTTTGATAGCGATAGGAAGTTCGATCGAAGGGACGCCCGAAGTGAGATCCGCATAATTGCGTAGATATACGCGACGCTTCCAAACCGATCCAGCACATCCGCAGTAGCCTCAGGCTAGTCAAACGTGGCCGGCTGAAGGTCTGGATGTGGCTCCCGATACCGAAAAGCTCAGGTCAAAGTTATGCAACCATTATCAACCCAATTATTGTCTGTGGAGGACATGATTGGTTACAAAGAGAGCTTCATCGACCAAAGACAACACTGGGTGATAGTTGGCGTCCACTCTGCATTAGTGACGACTGTTATTTGTCCAGTTTCTCGGAAAGGGGAGATTTCTGCAGGTGCTAGGGCCGTACCGCTGTTGCCTTTGGTGACTTTGCGAACAGGTAGTCTCGAAGTGCATGAGCGCGCTCACTTGACCTGAAGCGGCCCTCGGATCCTGCCAACGCAGACTTAGTAGCCACTTTCGGAACCATACTCTAGCACTCCATGTGCTAGCAAAGCAGCTGCCTGAGCTGACTTTACTGCTTTGGTACAGTAGAATGCTTCGAGAGTTTTACCAACCAAGACATCGCAACGACTTCGGGGAGCTCGAACCTACAGTTACTACCTGGGTACAAGGATGCTAGTAGTGCACCGGTGATGCCGAACGCAACGGCGCACGGTTCTTACATCGGGACAAATCTTATGGATCCTTCATAAAGGTATCCGCGACGTAAGGCTGACATGTGAAGATTGATAACCTTGCGAAGGGATTGTGATGTGCCTTACTTCTCGTCAGAGTTCTTCGACGACGTTGTGATACCTCCTTACAGTATGCTGCGTGTAAGCAGCCTTCCTCGGGACGACCCTCTACACAGCTAAGGATAGTCGACGCCTTTCATCGGTCATCTGCGACTCTGACATCGCTTAGCCCAATGTTACGCCATTGTAGGGACTAGGTTTGACTCTGCTCGACCTAGCAAACTATCTATATCATAGGTCTGATATACATGTGGCTGACGCCCGCGTCCTCTACCAAGACTGTTCGACCCGCTATCAGGCTAAATGCTGACAACGGGCCAAAACGGTCAAATATCCACTTTTCATATCCCTGTCGTTACCACAAAGATCATCCCTGTTTGCTGATTATCAAGATCTAGCAAATGACAGACAAGCACGCAAGCGTCGAAGGTTACTCGAGGGTACAACCGAGCTGCAACCAGTGGAGGGATACCCATGTGCCCGAACAGTCAACCCCTACTTACCACGTTCCCCACATCCTGACGTGTCGATCGTGTAGGTCGCTTCTACTTGTGGCGGGTTGTGGAAGCGCTCTAAGTTGCCGTCGCGCGCGTCTCGTACTCCATCGCGTGCTACGATCTTAGCCACCATCGCATGTTGTCTCATTTCAGTCATAGTCGACGGAGCTCAATGTTCTTTCTAAGCCAAAGCAGCACGGAATTGGCGCACCACATGCAAGCCTCACGCCAGCCGCACGCCATCTGACTGATCGAGAGCGTACATGTCCGAACAACCTCAGGTCGACGCCTAGGCAGCCGACATCGCCATGAGCAGACGCCAAGAGTGGGCTATGATGGCACCAAGGCATAGCAGACTCAAGCTTGAACGTACTATCCGATACCCAGAAAAACCGGTTCCAGTTGCCCGCATGCCGCAACGGCTCGCGACGATCTGTCAGAGAATGACCCGTTTCCTTAAAAGAGGCCGCAATTCCGGATCGTGGC